CATGACTTACACCTAGCTAGATATAGCCTACGCACATGGCGTACTATCATGATTTCTCATTAATCTATCTACTACATATATTAGGGCTGCTAATTAGGTTATTACTTACCTCTACAACACGCGGTTCCTTGCATTAGAATATAGAGGAAGCTTAATACGAGCCAGTAAGGTATTTCTTACTACTACTAATACTATATTTACTAATACCCATGATTAAAAGAGCACTAGAGGATTTATCTGCCTACTATATAGAGGACTAATTGACTAGAGATCCTAGAAGTAATATATTATTTTACTATTAACTACTAAAGCAGAATATATATCGATGATTAAAGTAACCAAGTTATTATATTAGTAAAAGAGGATTTTTAGAGATATTAATTTTAACCCTAAAGAGGACCTTAAAATATATTATAATAATAGCTCTATAATCAATTTATTAAGCAAGGAGATGATAATAGTATATACTAAGCTACGACACGTTAACGTACACCACGCCTGGCTACGTCAAGAGGTTTAACAACGTTGCTTACGAGTTACCTGGGTTCCCTCACAATCTATGCCTATAGATAGACTTACTAAGGCTCTCCTAAAACCACTACACCAAGAATTTATCAAGATATTAAATATAGTTAATATCTCGAGCCTTATCCTATCCTAATTAGGAACCTCCAACCGCTGAGGGGGTGTGTCAGCTAGAGCCCCTAGCTCTAGACCCCGCGCAAGCATTCCTCTCACTATTCCATCGAACATTCCTCTCAGGACTCACGAGATATAGCGATTAGAGTAGTAATATTAGATAGCCCCTATTTCCTTATTTAGTTTAGTTAATTCCTGTGCTTAAATAGTGCTGTTTCCCCAGTTATTCAGAATGACAGACCTCTCAACCTTCTTCAGATCCTCGACCTAGATCAACGGCCCGGACGACAAATAATAATAGGCCACCCCCACGTATAAGAAAGATAATTAGGTTTAGCTAAACCTCTAGAATGTACACACGCAGTGACTATTAAAGAAACTAGACTAGGTGCATGCACGATATTAGGTAGTAGATATCCTATCACCATATACTATTTAACTTAACGTGCCTACTAGCATACACCTAGTCTTCCATGTTAAGCTAGTCCATCTAGCTGCTACAGACCTGTTTCTATCCTAAATCATAGATAATATGCAGCCGCCCCCACTACTTATTAATAGAGAAGAGGAATTTAAAGTTAAACGCATTCTAGCTATACAATGTAGAAAGATAGGGCGAGGATACTATAATAAAGCGCTAGTGAAATGGGTAGGATAGGCACGTGAGATATAGATAAAACTAGATTTTATCCAGGACTACGTAGTACTAGATATCTTTAAAAAATAACATGGCCCTACTCACGAGGTAATTCAGCGCTAATTTAATAATAATAACTACGTTGTCGTGCCCCTTATAAGGTTTAGACCAGGAGGGGGGTATTGTCATGGGCCAGTGCCTGATATTGGACACGGGCTAGTGCCCGCGCACGTGATCTTGGCATGTTGATAGGAAGAACGCGCCTGGAGAACTTCCTTTCAAGCTTTTCGTACACAGTTCGTGGCCTAGCTAGATTGAATATAAGTCCGGCTTCAGCCCTTCACACACAGTAAATGCTTGATGCAAGTTAATAAATTAGCCTGAAAGTTTAATAAGGGCTTACTCTATAATTTACTTGCTATACCTAGCAATGACTTGGGATTTATAGGGGCAAAACGAGTGGCTGCTATATATATTACATGATGTCGGCTGTATATGCTATGTTATAAAATTAACACCTCAGCGCAGCATGATAAATAGTTGGTGAAATTAATGGCTATAATGTCCAAGCCCTTCACGGCTTATTATTAATAAGGTATTATTAGCCTAGCAATACTAGGCAACGGAAGCTAATAGTTGCCTTAAAACATATATAGCGAGTGGTTAGCTCTAGTTATAAGAACCATTTTCTAAGTAGAGCTAAGGATGTAGAAATGGAATCTAGAATGGTCTATATTTCTACCCCTTAACCTCTTCTAGAACCTTAACTACCTTCTAATATCCCTCTATCTCTCATAGTCTCTTAACGTAGTCTCATAGGGTAGGGTAGCTCTCTCTCTCAAGGACCCTAACCTCCTTGAGGATAATTAATGGATAGCTTATTAGAATATCTATAGCCGTAAACTAAGTCCTAACTAGATGCTGGGGTTGCTATCTCTCTTTCCCCCAAGAATTATTTATAATTAGCTGATCCTCTAGAAAACTCAGGTGTGTATTAAAGTTTAGCTGGTAGTATTCCTTCTTTATAATAGTGGGTACAATGCCAACCAGAGGTTTTAGGAAAAAAGGGGGCGTGGATTTTACTACTTCACACACTTAAATTATTAGCCTGGAGCATAATAATTAAACTAGGAAGGGGAGCTGACCATCTATTAATATATTTGTCATAACTAGAGGCATCAGGGTCCCCTCTGAATAGTGTATATAATAGCGATATCGCTACCATGCCTCTGGCCCCCCGCCAACTTGGTTCTCCTGCCCGTCGATCTATTGTATTAGTGTGAGCCGTTTGTGCTGAAGCTTAGTTAGCGACGAAGACGAAGGAGAGGGCAAGGCCCGGTAGAAGTGCTCAAGCAGGTACTCCATAATTACAGTAGACTCGGCAAGAATGCACGGGCCTCGAGCAGGATTTTTGATACTAATGCTGCCATTACCACTGCTACTCAGGGGGTAGATTGAGAGGATGGGCGCTTTACTAATGGGATGGATGGATTTTAGCTCTAGCGGGGCTCGCTCGCTCGGACCGCGTTTGTGGGGCTAAATATCATAGGTGAGATTAAGCTCTTTAAGGAGCTAGAGTATTCGCTAGGAGCGCGAGCACTTAAGGCTATATAGCGCTCTTTTTATTAGTTCAGTGCTTGAGCGAAGGGTTAAGAAGGGGTGTGCTAAAACTAACGAGTAGAGGATTATTTTAGCACTACGGTTAGCGCTCATGGTGGCCAGGACATAGAGGAGTCACCAATAGTAATAAGGAAGAGTAGAGAGCCGGATTTTCCCTAGTAGGGAGGGGTGATTTAAGAGTTAGATCAGGGCTAGGCTTACCCTAGGCACCCTGGCCACTTAGTGGTCTTGACCAGAGATAGTTGATTCAAGCACTAGCTTAGGGATTGTATAACATGCTAAGCCGCTAGAAAATCGTATATTTACTAGTACACGCTAGGGTCGCGCCCGAGGCCGGCTTCCTGATGGCAAACCTAGGACAACCCTGCCGACTAAATAGCCAGGGCGGCCCAAGGGTGAACTTGTACTATACTAATAATATTAACACATACTTTTAACTGGGTTGCGCTAGTGGCGGGGCTTAAAAGGCCCATAGAGATTACTAGTTAGCTAGTCCTATTAGAAGCTTGTGTTGGCTCTAAAGGCTTGGGCGCTTGTAATTAATTATAAAGAACCCGCTTGGAAGCTTACTCGCCTATAAGCTAAGTTACTATTTAGTGGATGATGTTTGGGCACTAGTAATATAATAGATGCTCTAACTAAACCTGAAGCCTCGCCTGGTAACTAGGGTTCGAGAAGGCTGCGCCTCGCATGTAACACTTGTCTTAGTGTAAAAATTCGCTGCTCTGGGGGTTGTCCTTGCAAGAAATGCGAGAGCTTGTGCGTTTCATGTCCCATACAGCTTCTTAAATCCTGACATGAGGAAGATCTCAAGAGCTTAACGTTGGCATAGGAACTTAGAATGTCAGTATAGCTACACGGCTAAGCTAGGCAAGCCCAAGGGCGCACGTAACAAGAAAACCCTCGCCAGGTTGAATAGTCTTGGCAGTGCAGCTGCCACTAACACCAACAGCAGCAGCATCAGTGACAGCCCTAACAGCATGCGCGATGTGTCAATCCAGCCCGCATGCACACCAACAAGCCTCCCGCTATATGAGAACCTCTCACTTACCAGGAGCATGTAACATATAAACTATATATTACAGCTACTAGGCTTTATATAGTAAAGACTAGTAATTAGTTTAGCTATAACTACTATATATTCTAAACCCTTAGATTCTACTTTATGTATATATATTCCGCAGTTATACTAGCTGCGGTTCACAATATAACTAATTATCCTTTATTATATTTTTAAATACTATTACAAAGTTTTCATTCCCTATTTAAGTAGTTTAATAGGCTTTCTATTTTCCTTTTTATACTAGGTTTAGCTTAAAGGGGGTGTTAGAGATTATAAACCCTCTCCTAGTGCTGACTTAGCCTAGAACACTATATTTCTTCTTCTTTATCGCTAGATAGCTTAGCTTAGAGAATCAAGGCTCTTCTCTCACAGAAGCCCCCGGGTTTGATCTGATTTTTGGACGGAAGCTTGGGGCATTGTCAGTTATTACTACAGTCTTTCAGCGGGATTGGATCTGCGCTGGGAGCGGCTGTTCACAAGAAGGCGCGCCATCATCTTTGTTCTCCCCATTCCCACAGCTTTAATGATGTCTTGTCAGCGCGCGGACTTGACAATAAAGTATTGTCCACAGATCCCTTGCAGCGTCGCCTAGAAGGAACTCCAATTCTAGATGGAGATGCGAATTGCGCGTGTTGCTGCTTGCTAGATGCAGACTGAGCGACGCGCGGCTTATGGAGATCACAGATATACCTACCACTAGTACAAGTATACGCCTTTGACTATTTCTTAGTTAATCGACTCCTCCATCAGATTTTTTTGTTATATATACAAATCAAGTTGGTGGGTGGACGATGTTTCATTTCTTTGGGTGTTTCCAAAAGCCCATTCCTCCTTTTGTCTCTATTCGAGGTTCCCCTAGATGAATAATATTCACTCCCCTGAGCACTTGCTAGCCCATTTTCCAACGATAGCATCAGATTCTCTCACAATGGTATCTGCAGGTATGGCATTGCATGCGACCTCGTGACCTCGTGTCTGACTTGTTTGGCTTGGCATCTGGCCGCGCTTCGTCACTCCACCATCAACTGAGAATCTGCTGCACTTCAACGATAAAACTTGCTCAGCGATGGCTTCCCTTCCACATTCGACCAATCGATCATGGGAGGTCCTTTTATCTTTTCCGCTGGAAATCATACACATGATCTTCAACTACGTGTTGGTCGATGAGCTCTACGCGGATAAATCCATCAAGACATCATTATCGTGTCGGGTGATTCCCTTCAGTCGAATCGTTCGCTACACAAAAGGCCTCCGCGGAGCATGCGCTTTCTGGGCGGATGCCCTACGTGTCCTTGTTTTCAGGGGCAGGTCAACACGATATGGATGTCTCCTCGAGATTAAGCGGCTGTTCACTGCAAAGGAAGCCGAAACCTTTCCCATGTTACGGGACTGCATGGTCGAGCTATGCCATCCGTACAACCTCCATGAGATCCATGCTCTCCAACTTCAGTTATCCAATAGCACACACAGCCTGGACTACGTGTGTGCCATCAAATGGGATGTCGACGAGCCCATGGACATGATGCTAGGCAAAACGAGTGGCATGGGCTACGACCGCCAGGCTAGACCATTAATCAATACATTTGTCGACGAGTGCCTGGCAGCTGGATTGAAGGTTGCCGATACCAGCGGGAAGCGTCCCAACGGGGGAGACCACACCGACAGCGAGGGACTGAGAAGCGCTGGCCTAGGCGCGATGAAGCAATTCTTCTTCAAAGAGACTCTAGCCCTCTGGTTCTACAACGCGCAGATCGTGCGCCAGATTCTTGGCGCGTTCCCGAACCTGCAATATGCCGTGGTCCCGGACTTCTTGCATATCCCCCTTCTGTCGAAAATGAAGTACTTCTTCCCGCAGTCCACGGATGACGACTCCCCCTTTGCACCAATCAGCCTCTCCCCACCGCAGATGCTGCAGAACATCGGGATAACCTACAAAGAGGGTGGCAGAAGCTACTCTGATATTATGGCATCCATGAAAGTGGTCTGGGTTTCTTCCATGCACTATCCTGCGCCTCTCGGCCTATTCCCCGAGCGCTTCCGACGGCTGCATTTGGATTTTGGACCCTTTATGATATTTAACCAGTGGACTACTCGCCGGGGTGAGCGCGATTTTGGCGATGACGTGTTACGTATGCTACGAGAGCAGATGGCGGCTGCGCTTGTGGACATACCGGAGAAGAGGAAGCCCACGCTTTTTTCTATCGACGACCTCCAAGATGCTTTGAAGGATGCTTGAAAGATGGGGGCTGAGTCAGGGTACTTAAAAAGCAGAGCAATAGTGGAAGTACCGGAGATAAAAAGACTCGATTTCTTTGAATAAGTAGGCGAAAGAGTGATTGAATTACGTGACGAATAACTTTACATATAGAGTCTACTTGAGGTTGTTCGCTTTGTAATCCATTGGTAATTCTACACCCAATGCGCGATTTCATCCATGAAAACTAAACCCTGATTTTTGAATCCAAGCTGGCAACTACATATTCTTTGCTAAGCAAATCGCAGCGTCTCTGGCCTCGAGCTGTTAAGATTCAAGATGCACACGGTGGAAGTGATTCTGGTGGTTCAACCCATCCAGGCTATAGACACCAAAGCCTTTTCCTACGTGAAATCCTACCTAAGTGAGGCCAGGCACATGGCAGGCGCCATAATGTTGGACCCTTCTAGACTCCTCCTAGTCGAAAGGCGTCTCCAGCACCCCAAAATCTTCGTACAGCACGAGACACGAAGATTCGAGACAAGAAAGCCTTCATGACTCCCCAGCTTGATATAACAGTGAGCGGCCCATATGCACAGGAATAGACCCTTTTGCTAAATTGCCGCCACTGGGCTGCCCAGGCAATACTATTAACAAGGAACTGGTGCCTACATTAGTAACACGCCACTCAATAAAGCGCTCCACCAAGGAGGCGCTGTACGAAATGCCAGTCGCGACACAGACAGATGTGGATCTCGCCGTCAAGCATGCGCGCAAGGCGTTCAAAACCTGGTCGAAGGTCCCGTTCTCTGAGAGGGCCAAGCTTCTACTTGACTTCGCAGATGCGATTGAGGCTCATCGCGAGCCGTTAGAAAGACTACTTGTCCTTGAGCAGGGGAAACCCGTAGGGCTGGCAAAGACGGAGTTTGATATGGCCCTTCAATGGCGGCGAGCATTCAGCACCATGGAGGTCATGGACGAGATACTGGATGGCAACGAGGAACGCACCGTGACTCAGATCTTCGCACCCCTTGGTGTATGCTGTGGAATTGTTCCCTGGAATTAGCCAGTCTTGCTTGGGCTTGGTAAAGTTGGTCCTACACTGATTACAGGTAACACCATTATCATCAAACCCTCCCCGTTCACTTCCTACTGTGATCTCAAACTTGGCGAGATTGGCATGGGAATCTTCCCGCCAGGCGTCCTCCAAGTCCTAAGCGGCGGAGATGATCTCGGCCCCATGCTCACAGAGCATCCTGATATCGACAAGGTGACCTTCACAGGGTCAAGCGAAACCGGCAAACTCGTCATGCAGAAATGTGCCAGCCCCCGAAGCGCGTGACCCTAGAGGTAGGAGGCAACGATGCGGCTATTATCTGCGAAGATGTCGACATTGCTGCTATTGTTCCTGAAATCTCGACGTTGGCGTTCCTCAACTCGGGCCAGAACTGCATGCTAATCAAGCCGCTGTACGTCCATGAAAGCATGTCGAGTTTGCCGCTGCCCTCGTCGCCTTCTCCAAGGGTATCAAGACCGGAGACGGGTTTGCGCCTGATGTCCCGGTCGGTCCGGTTCAGAACGCCATGCAGTAAGTTTAAGTCTATGCTGTTACGCTAGGTAGCTGCGTTATAGTTGTTCAAGCTGACGAATAATCACCAGGTATGGAAAGGTCAAAGGTCTCTACTCCGAGATTGAAAAGTGCAGCTGGACACAGGCGCTGAAAGGCGAAGTGCTCAGCAACTCAAAAGGCTTCTTCATTACCCCCATCCCGATCATCGACAACCCACCCGACGACTCTTGGATCGTGGTGCAGGAGCCTTTGGGGTTAATCCTGCCCATGCTAAAGTGGTCGGACGAGGAGGACGCCCTTCGCCGCGCCAATGACACAAAAGCCGGATTGGGCGTATCTGTTTGGAGTAAGGACTTGGATCGGGCAGAGCGAATGGCCAGATGTCTCTCTGCGGGCAGCGTTTGGATTAACTCGCACTTTGATGTTGCACCCACCGTTCCCTTCGGAGGCCATAAGTGGAGTGGTATTGGGCGGGAATGGGGTATGACGGGTTTACAGTCGTACTCTAATTCAACCTCGCTGTGGAAGTGGAAGAAAGCCATGTGACAAGAACTGCTACTAGGGTTTTATTCCATGTGTGTTCCGTGCAAGGAAGGACGCTATTTTCTCTCGCCCCTTGCTGACATATTCCACAAATCAGCTAGCCCATGCATCAATGATCAAGAGTCTTGGGGGGTTCAATTGAGGTCGCGATGACGCAGTGCTTCCTTGCTAAGAAAATCGAAAGATAAAGAAGGAGAAAAGAACCTACGGCTCTTGGCTTCCTTGTTGTTCGGTCAGGGGAACTGGCACATGTGTCCCCAGTATCGTCGTGCGTTTTCATAGGTCTGGTCGTTTTATATTGCTGGTGCGGCGGCTGATGGGGCGAAGCCGGCTCGGCGTTGGGGTCTGCGGTCGTTGAAGACTTCATTAACGACTTTTCCAAGAGGGGATATGTTGCCGGGTGCCCTGTGTCCCAGGGTAGGAAATGAAAAGAGCGAGGGCGAGGGACAGCGGCCATGGCCCTCTTATCATTGCGGCTGAGGGGAATCCGTTAAGCGCCGAGAGCCTCTTAGTCCCTTTTGAGGGCGAAGGCAGGATTTTAGAGCTATCCTTTCTTTCTCCGTTGACAATAAAAGGAGGGGCAAAAACAGCGTTCATCAGATAGAGTTCTATCACATTTGTGAGTAAAAGGCCCATCTTTGCGACCTGCAAGGCACTTTTTCGAGACAAATATATATAAAATAACACCCTACATAATCACTCGATCCAACTTCAACACCAACGTCTTCTAGACAAAGAACGGAGACCTAGTCTGTTTCGACATCCCAAAAATCATCAGTGTTAATGTGCAGCACCCCACCGGCCACCTCATCTAGTAAGCTTTGAATATCATCCCGTACCCGCGCTGCTCGTTGACCAGTCCGGGACTCCCAAATCCTCTCCATCTCACGCAGCCACCGGTCCAGGAACTCCTGAGCCGACTCCTCCATACGCCGATAATGATTTTGAAACCACAGCCGTGTCGGCGTACGGATGTCAAACTGCTCGTCCGGGTGGGCTGCGTTCCAGGCGAGGTTCACTAGCCGGCGCTCGCGGAAGGTCAACTGGTACTGGTCGCGAAGTGTGGCGCGGACACCGTCGAGATTGAGGTATTGAAAGACTCCAATCACACTGCGTATTCGAGACAAGGCTTGTCGGGGGTCGTCCACGTTGTTGACGTGGGTGGTCATGGAGCTCTCCGCCAACGGGCCGTTGGTCCACACACGCCACCTCCAGACCTGGTTGACAAGAGTAATCAGTGGGCTGTTGAATTCATAGCAGGTATTCACACTCACCCTGTTTTTAAGGAAGTTCAAATACCACTCCAGCATCCAAAAGTTGACGTCATACGTGACGCTTCCGTACGCTTGGTAGATTCTCTGCGATGGAATCCTTGCGCTCGGGTCACCTTCTACGCCTCCAACTGGTAGAGCATAATCACGGGGATTCATTACTTGTCCATTCATCCATGCGTCAGAGACAAACCCCGCCGGAATGGGGGTGAAGGCATTTTGGTGATCCTCATCCAGTTGGCCGAGGGATAAGTCCGAGAGGAGAGTTGGCTCCGTGTTCATTTCTGTGGGGTGCTCCACTGGTGTGGCGATCAGTCAGCAAAAGTACATACAATACACTACAACGAGGCGTGTCGATTGAGGACACTCACCATGTATCAATTGGCCATCCACCTGGTTACCAGTCGGCATGCTCACCTGGCGCACGTTGGTGTTAGAGCAGTCTCGCCGGTGGCGGAGAACGATGACTCGTCTCCGTAGGAAATCTGTGCTGGGCACCTGGCCGGTGCTGCGATAGCGTCGCGAGCGTAGCGTAGTGCCCCGACTCCTGATGCAGTAGGTACGCTCTACTCCTCGCTTATCCAGGGAGGCTTCCGCCTCCGGGCACGGGTCGTCCCACTCCTCACTCTCGCAGTCGGCATCATCGTCTTCGCATGGGTCCTCATCCTCGCAGCTTAGCACAGGGTTGGGACTAGCCAGGTCATTGAGGTCCTCAAAACGGCATTTGATGGTGTCTATTATCTTGCTGATATCCCTGTATATGTTCCCGAACCATTCCTCGAGCGACTCACGGAATTCGGGAAACTTGAGATATTGGAAGCCGTGTTCGTCACTTTGCTCATTCCACAAGTCCTCGTAGTCTGCAACCTTGGTCTTCTGATAGAGCGGCGCGCCCAAAATAGCCGCCAGCATGATCACGACCTGCTTTTGAGCCCCCGAGACTGTCTGGTCTCGAACTTCGAGTCCACCAGACTGATCATTTGGGCATTGAGGGTTGTTGAAAAAGATGTCCAACGCCTCCTTGACATCCGTCACATTTGCCCGTTCCTTCCACTCGATGTCGTAGTAACCATTCGGGGCGCAGTAGGCCTTTGCGCCGGGTTTGTTCTCGCAGACCCCAGTCTGCTCCATTGCCAGGCGGTAGGTATCGTCCTCACAGTCTGACCAGCACCGCTCCCGTGTGCTGTTGTCCTGCATGAACCTGCCTAAATGGTCTTCCCAAGTCCCATTGAGCCATTGATTACCCTCGCCCCCCTCATTTTGGGCGTCTGCACAGCAATACCGGCGCTCTGAGTCGTCCTTGCAGGACACAGCTCCACTGCCCGCGTTCGAGGTGAGCACCGGGTCCCTTGCGCGCGCCGATGGGCATGTATGGTCGCTGCAATCGGGATCACGCCTGTCGCCGGATCGGTCTCCGGCCCACTGGCATTTGCCCCACATTCCCATGCTGGAGAGGGTCCATGAGTGTATTGGGTTGCTCGTAACCCGGCAGCAAGCAGCTTGGTACCCGCTGTGGCACCCGTGATGGTTGCTGCCGACCTCCACGAAGTCTTGCGGGCAAGAGTAGTCACAGAAGCTGTTCGTGTGAATGTACCAGCCACATGTAGCCATCGCCTTCTCCGGACAACAGAGTGTATGGTGATCTCCATCGCAGGCGGTCTTGTCCAGCATTACCTCGTTGTCTGCGGCGTTTTTATCAGTGCGCAGGGCGGGCTGGTATCCGGCGGGACAGGTTTTCCCGCAGTTGGTCCATTTACACTGGTCGATAAGCTTGTGAATCTCAACGTATCTCGTGGAGTTAGACTCGGTCGTCGATGTTAGTCCATTGCGATTCACCGCGCGCCTGAAGAAGGCGTTGGAGAAGCGCTGGGTTGGAGTATCGTGAGAGACAGCCCAGACCATAACCCCGCCAAGTCCCAGCCCGAGTGAGAACTTTGCCTTGAGCTCCAATGTCTCTTCGTCGTCATACGCAACCCACTGGTTGTCCCACGTGGCGATTTTGACGCCGGCTTTCTTATCCAAAGTGGGTTTCACGCCTTGGGCATCAAGAATATCCACAATCTCACTGTTAAGCAGAATACCATTCTCCCGACTGCAGTCACCCATTGTTGCTGCAGATTCAAATGTGCAACCCGGCTCGAGGCAGCTGGTGGATGTGGCAGCAAACGCGCGCCCATAGAACGCTGTTCCCAGTACGACCTTGTTGCTGGGTATCTTGTTTCGCCATAGAAGGTCCAAGGCATCGCTGATCTCGGTAAGGTTGGTGTGGGCATTAAGATACGGCCCTAGCCATTTGTTCCCCTTGTCCCACGCACCGTGTAGGTCATAGCTCATAATGTTGAAGAAATCAACGTGCTTCTCGAGTTGGACAATATCGAAATGCTGAAGAAACCAGTAGGATGCGGGGAGTGTAATAGTCACGCCATCTCTGCCTCCTGCACTCTTTAGAGCTTGCTTAAGGCGGCGTAGGAAGATGGGAAAGTTATCAAAATCTTCCTCTCTACCACCGCGATCCACAATCTCATGCGGGCCGGGGTATTCCCAGTCAATGTCCACCCCGTCAAGGTTATAGGTGGAGAGAAAGGAAATTAGTGACCGGAAGAATTTTTTCTGTGCATCCTCTGACCGTGCCAGGTCGCTAAACGTAGTCTGTGTTGGCCCGGGGTCGTTGTATGCCCAACCCCCCAAAGCCACATATACCTTGAGGTCTGCGTCCTGTGTCTTCAGCCGTGCCAGGCGTCGGATCAGATCCTCTTCGGTGGTAGACGCGAGCTTTACCTCGAAGCTAGTCGGGTCAATCGTGGCAAATGCGTAGTTGAGATGCTGGCACGGTGATGATTTATTAGTGGATCCGACCAAGCAGTGGGACAGGAAAATGCAGGCGTCTTACCGTATATATTCCTGGGGTTATCTGTTCTGGAAAGAAACTGTTGCAGGGTCTCTCGTGTGACCACCCCTCGTAGTATCCCACAATCCGACGAAGGGGAGTGAAGTCGTTGTAATCTGCAGAGGGACGTTTGACTTTGGTGTCGCCGCAGAACTCGCTCGTCATGCCACAGTAACCCCATCTAAGCAGCAAATGGGCACAGTTAGTGAAAAGCACAGTAATGTGACAGTACGGTGTTACCACTGACTTGCTACAACACACATTCAGAGGGCACTTGGAGTGCTCCGCGTATTCGCCATATCCCCCGGGATCACAGTAAGCTCTGTTGTCGCAGCCGGAAACGCAGGAATCCGGGGCGCAATCTGGGACGACCCATTGTCAGCAGGCGCCCTCCAGCGATCAGCACACCAAAACGGATGATGGTAAAAAAGGAGCATCTCACAGTCCGGTCCTAAACCACAGAACCCAGCCTTGGAACAGCACGCATCGTTGGCACAGGGCCGGTTGGCATCGCATTCGGATTGGAAATCGCAATTTGCAACGCAATTAGCTCCCTACGACGAGCTCATTAGATATACCTCGCCGGCATCGAGTCTGTGTCCACGTGTACTCACACAATAGTCTTCTCCGACACCGCACCAGCCGTCTCTGTCAAGTGCCAGTTAGCCGTCTATTGATCTCGCTTCAAGTCCGTAAAGAGAGGACTCCTAACTTCGAACAGCAGCCTGTGGCACAAGGGTTTGTGGCACTGCAATCTTGGGCATTGACGGACACAGTCCCCGCGAGTACCCCCGCCAGGAGCACCAGACGGGCAAGCATAGCTTTTTGTCCCTGCAATATGTGAGTCCTGTGCCCTAGGCCTTTGAAATGAGCAAAAGAAGGGTCTTGCTCTAGAGAAACTCGAACGAAACAAAAACGACGGGCACCGGAGAGAAACTAAGGGCAGACTCGATCAGCTGCGACGGAGAAAACCACCATCTTCGATCCGGACCTCCCGGGTAGTCCTAACGTTCATCTCCGAGCCTGTCCCACTACATGCCGTTCCATTGCCTTCGATTAATGCCGGTCCATCCTTCGAGAGTCAGAGGCACGGGGGCTAGGTGCGTTGCTGTGTGGTGGCACCCTCGGAGGACTCGTCTTGGCTTCATTTCCACAAAGCGAATTCAGCTGCAACCCCCAAACAATAGCAAATCTTGGTAGGCTGTGGCTAACCAGGACCCAGCGCAAGCGCACCCGCCAAGCAGAGCCGACTTGGATCCTTAGCGCGGAACGGCCCGCTAAGAGAGGGTTGCATGAGACTATGGAGGCGGTTCCTGACTCGCCTCGGCACATTCATGCTTGCGATTACATGAACACGACCGCTAGGCTGCTGCTTGCCCCAATCTTTGCTTCTTTTATCTTTGTCGCTCGAGCAATGCGTAGAACACTGATATGCGGGCCATGGCGGGGGTGGTGGTTTTCTCTAGGGCAGCGAAACCTTCATCCGGGGGGCGCTGATCCCACAATTTGCCGCCAAGTGAGATGCCGGAGGAGCAGATCTTGGGTAAGCTTGTCCCTGCCACACCGCCGCATGTTCGAAACCCCAACCGAGACGCAAGTCGAGGTTTGGGCTAGTGAGAGGCCAATTTCAACTAGCCCTGCAGCCAAGACCACCAGGCATGCACCACCGGAGATTACCGGAAGTTTCAGACACGGAGGGACAAACTTGCTTCGGCCTCGAGAGAGGGGGCAATTCTACCATCTCGGAGACCAAGAAATCCGAACAGCAAATAGTACCCCTACTCTGTCCTCCCACGCGGCTGGCAACCTCCCGTCCTGTCCGTTCCAATGTCCATCCTTCACCGTCGTTTGACCTTGTTTTCTCGCTGCGAAGCCTGATAGTGACAGCAGTGAAACACCGGCAGAAGGAACACTTTCTTTGCGCGGGATGCTGTCGACTTCCACTCGAAAGACCCTGCTGGGCGTCTTGTGCTGGGCTCTTATTGCCCCCCAAGCCCTTACCGGTCATCCGAACGTCCATCATCAACACCACCAGCACCACCATCATGGCCGTGCATCATCTTCTGTGACCGCTACAGCCTCGGGCACCGTGCCGATGAGCTCGGCGGCGACAGGTGTAGATGATGCAAAGGAGACAGTGCGCAAGGCTCTCGATGCACTCGCCGTCGTCAACAAACTCCGGATGGAGAATATCAACTTCAACACTTACGAATTTGGTGAACCTGGGGTCGCCAGGGGGGATGCCCCACCGTTGGACATCGATACTCCCCCAACAGAGGAACAGGCGAGAAAGCGGTCGACGGATGGCAGGGGTTTCGCCTACTCCATCCCCAAAGAGCTGAGGGAGGCGGCGCGCATCGTGGCCGAGTCTGCACCTCCCTCTACTCCCGAGGGAGATCACGAAAAGATAGCTGCGGAAATCCGTCGCAAGTATGCACGGGACACTAATGACACGAATGTCCCTCGGCAGGCACTTCTGCACCAGGATGGCTCTAGTGGGTTGGCGGCGGCCTGGCAGGACCACCTCTTCCCCGAAACCAGCGATCGCCGAGACGAGGTCGTCAAGAGAGCGACAGGATCGTATTGGATGACCACAATCCAACAGCGTGGCAGCAGCCCCTTCGCTCCCGAAGGATACCAGGTGTGGCGCAACGTCATGGACTACGGGGCGAAGGGAGATGGAATGACAGACGACACGGCTGCCATTAACCGGGCGGTCTCCGATGGAGGTCGATGTGGCGCAAATTGTGGTTCGAGTACAATCTATCCCGCTGTTGTCTATTTCCCCCCCGGGACGTACCTGGTCAGCAGTTCCATCATCCAGTACTACAACACGCAGTTCCTGGGAGATCCGATTACAGTCCCCACGGTCTTGGCCGCCTCCAGCTTCGTTGGACTTGGGGTCATCACATCAGACGTGTACGTCAGTGATACGGAGCAGTGGTATATCAACCAGAACAACTTCCTCCGCAGTATCAAGAACTTTAAGATTGACGTCCGGCTTACGGACCCCTATGCTTACGTTTGCGCTATCCACTGGCAGGTGGCGCAGGGTACGTCGTTGGAGAACATCGAGTTTTACGCCCTGACCGGTACGACGCAGCAGGGAATCTACATGGAGAATGGCAGTGGCGGATTTCTCAGTGACCTGACCTTCGTCGGGGGCAACTTTGGGGCCTTTTTCGGCAATCAGCAATTCACAACCAGCCACTTGGTCTTCGTGAACTGTAACACGGCCCTCCAGATACATTGGGACTGGGCCTGGACCATGCAAGATGTCGTTATCGAGTCCTGCACTACCGGAATCATCATCGTCGGCGGTGCTGGTGGGCCCATGAGTAATGGCCAGCCCGTGGGTTCCTTGCTCCTCACCGATGCTCTCATCGCGAACACCCCGACGGGCATCCTTAGCTCACTCTACGCCGAAAATTCGACGGCATTGCTCGTGCAGAATACTGGCTTCTTCAATGTGGAGAAAGCAATCGTGGACGACGTCCTTTCCAAGACTCTAGTGGCGGGCGGAGATGAGGTCTTCATTCATAATTGGGGCTTCGGCATGCTTTCCACCGAATCCGGTGTGAGTGAGTTTGCGAATGGAATACCAATACCCACCATGAATCGTACTGCCTCGCTCCTGGCCGAGACCGGGTATGTGAACCGCAACTTTTTCACCCGGCGTCGGCCCAAGTATTACGACATTGGCCAGTCGCAGATTATGGATGTTAAGGTCCTAGGTGCCAAAGGAGATGGTGTTACTAACGATGGGCCGGTTCTTAATGCTATCCTCCAGAACGCTGCCAACCTCTCCTCAATTGTGTACTTCCCCTTTGGCGTCTACGTGGTGAGAGACACACTCAAAGTGCCGGTTGGCAGCCGTATTATTGGGCAGGCCTGGTCGCAGATCATGGGCAAAGGCAGTAACTTTCAAAACGAGCTTAAGCCTCGTGTCGTGATCAAAGTCGGCGAACCAGGTGATGTTGGGATTGTGGAGATTCAAGATATGCTCTTTACTGTTGGTGGGAACACCGCGGGAGCAGTTCTGATGGAGTGGAATGTGCACGAGTCAACCCAGGGTTCGGCGGGGCTATGGGGTGAGTTGACCAACCTTGCATCAGCCACGGCTGTCATGACCACCGTCGATCTAACAGCTGTCACGCCCCGCAGATTCCCATTTTCGTGTTGGTGGTGCCATTGGCTCTGCCCTGCAAGCCGAAGATTGCCCCAAGCTAACAGGAAGCGTCAACCCGTCATGCAAGGCGGCTTCTCTACTTCTCCATCTCACTCCCGAGAGCTCAGCATACATGGAAAATGTATGGGTTTGGGTAGCTGACCATGACCTGGACAAGGTTACCCAGGATCAGATTGATGTATATGTCGCGCGCGGGGTGTTGATTGAGAGCCAGGGGCCAACATGGCTATACGGAACAGCCTCTGAACACTGTGTCTTGTACCAGTATCAGCTGTCTAAAGCAGAGAATATTCTCCTGGGCATGATCCAAACCGAGTCTCCCTATTACCAACCTGTCCCCAAGGCGCCGCGGCCGTTCACGCCTGGGATTTTCCCAGATGATCCCACCTTTGACGATTGCGCTACTGGTTCGAGCACCTGTGCAGTCTCCTGGGCGGTGCGGATTATTGACTCCAAAACGGTCTACCTGCTCGGGGCAGGGCTTTATAGCTGGTTCTCTGATTATAGTCAAGACTGTCTAGAGACCGAAGATTGCCAGCAGCGAGGGTTCCATATTGAGGAGAGCAATGATATCTGGATCTACAATCTATGCACAAAGGCTATTGAGGAAATGATCACACCCGTCAAGGAGCTTGTGACAATGGCCACGGACAATCGGAATGGGTTCCTCTCTTCCATTCTCGCATGGGTGCGCAACTCGTCGGACACCACGATCGGCCAACGGGAGTTTGAAGGTTTCCAGATCTACCTGCCTGGGAGTGCTTACATCGAGGACCTTACCGCAACATGCCAGACAGCACTAACCCAGACCATCAAATGCCATGCGAAACTACAGGGATGGCAGGAGCCGACCATGCGGGGCTCCCTGGACAACGTGACCCTTACTGACGAGCTGTGTGATGTTGGCTGCGGAATGTCACTCCGCAATTACTATGACGCGGTTACTGCGGCATGCCAGAACCAGAACTTTACCGTTCCTGCGGGCGTCACATTCCCTGAGCGAGCGGGCGGAACCATCTGGACTGGTTATAACGAGACCTGCCTGAAGGATCCATCCTCGGGTGAATATTGCAATGGTACTCCTGCCCTCTTTTCCCCCGTGCCACGCTTATCTCATGTCTCGGGGACAAGTGGAACTACTGCGCTGACACTCTTGTTTACCATGACCAGATATCATTAATACCTTTACAATTGTCGACACGTACGAGGATATGCCAGTGGATGAGCTTTGCTCCCCGTGCTATATCTCTCTGCACCAGACGATGCAAGCATCTCCATATTCAGTCTATCACGACTCGCTGCAGTCCGACTATCTTAAAGCACGCCTGGATTATATCTACAAGCAATGCGATGTAGATGAGGGCCCAACCAACATCAAAGACCCTCAATATATCCCCGTCGAAGTAGAGCCAATACCATGCTTTACGGACGTCACTTACACCACGAAAGAAGGCGATACCTGCGATAGCATCGCCCTGCGCTACTCGGTCGCCTCGGCTGCGGTGCAGAGTGCAAACACAGACCAGATCAGCAACTGCAGCTCAGTGAAGTCAGGCAGGGAGCTGTGCATCCCGCTAACGTGCGACAGGCTCTATGTCCTCGACGACCAAGACACATGTGATTCGATTGAGCGCGCTACGGACATCGATCTGGGAGGCCTAAGGGCCTATAATCCGTGGATCAATTATTTCTGTGACAACCTTGTCCCAACAGTCTGGATCCACGGTCGGATCCTTTGCCTGTCGCCACAGGGCGGGCAGTACAACGTGACAGACCCTATTCCAGGGGTCGTCGTTGCCCCTGGTGAAACCACTGGATACTCGGGCATGGTGGTGGCGCCACCAAACGGCACCACACTGGCAGAGGGGACGACGATTTACTGTGGAAAGTGGTACACGGTCTCCTCAAGTGAGGAGACGTGCGCGGCTGTGTGCAGCTCGACAGGTATTACGGCGGACCTGTTCCGCGCCGTCAATCCAAGTCTTGCGGGAGAGGGACTTGAGGATTGTACGGAGTTGATGGAGGTCGGGCTAACGTACTGCGTTGCACCAATTTGGGGTTGGGAGGATGTCGACTCATTCATCTACTGATTGGATGGAACTCACAGGGTCCGTGCCATTGTGATGTACCTGGAACATTCGCAAACGAGCCCCGATGACCGGGGCCGTTCGTCCTTGCCGGGCTTTTCTTTTGTTCTTTTCCAACTACCCTCCGTGACATAGACAAAAGATCCTCAATTAGGTACAGGCACTGTTAGAAAGGAATAACGTGTTCTTTCCTGCTGATTCAATCTCATTTGTTTAATCAATCAGTCTCTCTAATGACATGCACAGGTGTTTGCCTCAGGGGGGATAGTGGGCCAATGACCCCTGGAGGGAATTTAGCATGTGTAGGCTTGCCCAGACTACTTTCCTTCTTTCCTTCTTTTTTGTTCTTTTTTTTTTTTTTTAATATACACCACGTAGAGCTTTTCGCATGTATGTGTCTGCATTTAGCGGTCATCGACTCGGTCTCCTGGGCGGCCTCTTGAATTGCAGGGCCGAAATCCGGCTTGGCATGCGTCAAGAGCTAATGATGGAGTTTATGTGGTCTGGACCCAGCGAGAAGTAATTGCTCTCAGTCTGCGTGGGCATCTCCAGGCGTGCATTAGTACCGAATATGGCGGCTGTGAGTGGGCTTCTATCGCTGCTAATATCCTATTAGTGAATTCTCCGCCTAGAGGCCCTTATCAAGAGTGTGCCATACCAAGAAGGGGGTGCAGTAGCTTGAACCACCTAAAGACGTGATGATTCGTTCAAACTTGGGATCGGGTAAGAGTAATTATGGTGGGCACGCCAAAGACATTAAAATGCTTGCCAATGGTGGCCCGGGAATTCAGGCACCTAACTTTGCACGGAACCTGATATCCCAGGCTCAAAGGGGGCTGGTAGCTCTTGGCGACCTCTTGGCCCCCATTACTGAGAGCTTAAAAGCACCGGAGATGCCGCTTCGCCACCCCGTCAACCTTGGTCAGTCCGCATTCCTTGTTTCCCCTTCACCATCACCACAGAACCCACCCTACTCCATGCAACATGACTAAGCGCCCACAGCCCGCCCCAGCCATATTTACACCCCCAGTATTTAGGCCTAGACCTAAATACACACCCACCGCCGCGTCCCCGCCAGAGTACCATGACCACACTATGGAAAACGGTCGTCGCTACCGCGGCCACAAGGATGAATTCCCATGGCCGAATGACGACGAAGCCTTGAAGTCTTACAGCTGGCTTAACACCACCTGGACCTATCTCCTCGAGGCAGAGGGGCAGAGTCTCATTAGCGCCCCGGTTGTCCTGCACAAGGGCACCAAGGTCCTAGATTGTGGCGCGCGCGGCACAACGTGGATGTACGATATCAACGAAAAGTATGCTGGGACACGAATAGCCGTTATTGATCCTGGCTGCGCGTGGCTTTGGCCGGCTTTCGTTACTGTGCATCATGAGCTCGAGGGCGAGTGGCCGTTTACTGCCCGTCAGTCCTTTCACTACATCCGCGGCTTTGCCCTGGGCGGCATGATTGCCGACTATGATGGGTTGTATCGGAATGCGTACAAGCATTTATTACCGGGCGGCTGGTTTGAAGTGCGTGATCACGATCTCCAGTTCTTCGTGGATACCCAAGGTGGGGATGAGGAGAAGGAGGGTACTGGAAGTGAAGGGACAGAGGGGAAGTTGGTTTTGCTGCGTCGCTGGGAGAAGCTTATGGCAGAGGCCGCGGAGAAGTTTGGAAAGCCGATCAATATGGGGGGCAAACATAAGGAGATGATGGAGCAAGCGGGCTTTACAGATGTCCATGAAAAAGTATTCCAGGTATGTCTTAACCTGCTTTTCCGCAACTTGGCCATAAACTCTTGCCTATGTCTAGTCCACAGTACTCAGGCTAAATGCTTTTCTTTTTGTGCTCTTGCCAGATCCCATTCGGCGATTGGAAGGGAGGAAAACCATGGGAACACGTAAGGGATTCGTACATCTTGCACATGAGGCATGGTCTAGAGGGGTACACGTTGCGGCTGTTTACCAAGACACTAGGATGGTCGTTGGAAGACACGAGGACATTCATTCGGGAGCTGCAGGCGGAAATTTCCGAGCCTAAACTTGAGCATCTGCGGCTGTACTCCCTGTTTCGAGTTGTCTACGGCAAGAAGCCGAAAAGTGCGTCGAGGAAGCCCGAGGACGCCACTTTGAAGTCAGAACGAGCAACCCAAGATACTGATAATGCCGCCAATAGGAGTTAGAATCTGTCACACTTTTTGTTCTTCTTTGGATTACCTTTGTTTTTGTTCTCTTCTATTATATGCATTTTGGTCTTCCCAGACGCGTTCTAGTTATCACCGGATCTCTTTTAGAATTTAGAGCTGGTTGCTTGTAGGCAGTCGTGCTAATCACTCCTCTTAGCTCTATAGGGGCTTACTTCCTGCACCTATTATACCCACGATTGACTCTGAATGCGAGCATCGTACCTTGACATGTTCAGCCGGGAACCTTCCACAGTTATGCCTTCAACAATGTGCCATTCTTCAGCAGCGTTCCGTCAATAATGTAGTTCGGTCGAAGTAATCTCTAGTTCACGAGCGACTACTCGCCTAGTCTAGGTGAGTATTGTTATCATTAGTCGTCTGGCTTACTTTGTAAACGTGATAGATAACTCGAATGCTTTGATACCTATACAAAGTTTCACTACGTGCAAGGACCCTGCTCAGGGTGCTCGTTCCAAAGTCAAGCAATACTATGCCTATGCTATAAAGTAGAACGACGCTGACGCAAGATAAGCGCCTTATGCACCTTGCGGAAAAGTATGGGCTATAATCGTGCGGTCTCTTTGCTTCCACCAGCTAAGGATCTTGTAAGACCATTAGGTGGGAACCTAATGATGCGCCCCGCCCATGACTCTAACTCAGGGCTTAGCTTAGTGCATGGAAGAAAGTCGACGGTTTAGACACACCTAGAGGGAAAGACATTCTCATGGTCCTCGTCGAGCCGACCAAGAGTTGAGTCATCGAGCAGAGTAGCCTCAGCCTTCATCTCCTGGGCTGTTCCATTGGTATCCGGGATCAGCACTCACAAACAATCTATCTTGTCAAGACGGCCATACCATGAATCATCTATCCACCAACCTGGTTTCCCGTGGGAATGCTCGTCTTACGCACCTCGGTGTTTCCAAAGTCTCAGCAACTCCGCAACGCTATGACCCGGCGCCGCAAGGCATCCGTGCTGGGCAATTGGCCGGTGCTGCGATAACGGCGGGACCGAATCGTGGTCGCCCGGCTGCGGATGCAGTATCTGCGTTACGGCCCTCGTTTGTCCAGGCTCGTCTCTGTCTCCGAGCATGGATCCTCCCATTCCCTCACTCTCACATTCGGAATCCTCATCCTCACACGAGTGTGTGGGCTCGCAGCTGAGCACTGGATTGTTACTGGCCAGATCATTCAGGCCTCAACATTAATTAATTCTAGACTACCCGCGTCTGGTATACCAAGCCATACCCTATAAAAATACTATATTTTATTTCTTATGAATCTAACTTCCTATTAAGGAAATAGAGGACAGTTTTAAGAAATTATTAAAACTAAGTCTTTCAGCTATTCAACATCTGAGAGTTGTCTAGAAATCCCTTGAATGAAGGCTATAAAACGGGTTAAATATTAAAGGTAGCTAGAAAGCGGTATACAGCACTCATACAACAAAATATTCACTTTTATCCTTTTGTCCAGATTGTCCCCCGTAGACGGGGCCGTCTTGGCCCGAACCACCCACCCACCACAGGCTTCGGCATATAATAGGCCCCACGCCTCCTCTTCACTCGCTCGACATTCAAGGATCCTTCTCCCTCCCGTCCAACTTGGCTCCGCTGCACCCAATAAAACATGCCAAAACGCCAACATACCCCCCGAGATCTATTCAAGGGTTACACAGTCAAGCGCCTGCCAAAATCAAGACCAACCGCTGACTCACCGGCTGAATACAACGACCACACCTTTGAAAACGGCCGGCGCTACCGCGGCCACAAATCCGAGTTCCCCTGGCCCAACGACGACGAGGCAACGAACTCATACAGCTCGCTAAACACTGTCTGGACCTTCCTCCTTAAGGCCACGGACCACCACCTTATTAATGCCCCCATCACCCCGCGCGAGGGAACCAAGCTCCTTGACTGCGGCGCGCGTGGCATGTCGTGGATGAGCAAGACCGAAGACAAGTACCCCGGCGTGCGCATCTCGGTCATTGACCCTGGCTGCGCGTGGATGTATCCAACAGATATTATCGTCCATCATGAGTTTGAGGGGGAGTGGCCGTTTACCGCTCGCCAAGCCTTTCACTATATCCGGTGTTTCGCGCTGGGCGGGATGATTGCAGACTATAAAGGGCTATATGACAATTCATATCGCCATCTTTTACCCGGCGGATGGCTGGAGGTGCGGGACAATGATTTACAGTTTTTTACGGCTTCACCAAGTCCAGAGAAGGAGGAAAAGTTGGTTGCGCTGCGAAAATGGGAGAGGCTAATGGCAGAGGCAGCGGAGAAGTTTGGCAAGCCAATTAATATGGCAGAGAAGCACAAGGCGTTGATGGAAGGTGCAGGATTCACAGAGGTAAAGGAAGAGGTATACAAGGTGTGTATGATCCTGCTACTCCTACCACTTATCTTCCTGTCCTAGGATTGAGACGGACGGCAAGTAAACGGCCCATAACTAACATTACCCGATGTGGCCAGATCCCCATTGGCGCTTGGATGGAAGGAGAGCCTTGGACCCCATTCGTAGAAACCTCATACAGACTCCATATGAAACATGGGTTGGAGGGGTACACCCTGAGACTCTTTACCAAGACTCTGGGTTGGTCACTCGAGGATACAAAGGCCTTTATCAGCGAGGTGAAGGACGAAATTGCCGACTCCAAGCTCAAAGATCTCCGTCTATATTCTAATTTCCACCTGGTTATTGGGAAGAAGCCCGAGACTGCGTCAAGGAAGCCTTAGCTGGGTTTATTGGCTGTGCTCCTCTCCTTAGCATTATGATATTTCTTGAAGACTTTCTCAGGTTTTGATCTACTAGGCTGCCTTCATTGCGTTAATAGATAGTGGTTATAACCGTAGTCGCTATAAGGCTAAGGTATTATAATGTTTTTTTTGGGGGGGGAGGGTTTAGCACTTTTATATTCTGTACTAGGAGTAAAGGCTATAATATGCTTGTAAAAACTGCTATAGTCTTTTAGCCTTACCGCACCACAGGCGCAGACACGTCCCAAATTTTGACCGGTCCAGCACGGCTCCGTCCAAACTCCGGAGTTCCACTAATGCCACACCGGCTGAGCTACAGTGAAACCACCGGCGCGCTCTCCGTACACCACGCACAAACGCTCAATAACATCAGTCCACCTTGGAGCTATTTGCACAGTCCCATTCTGTGTGCCCTCCGCATGCGGATTGGCCCGCAGATCAGACCAAAGGGGGTAGTGGACTTTATTGGCCAAGTACGAGATCGGGTCTCCGTGGTAAAATTAGTAGTTGGTTGATATTGAAAAGAATTGGGCCAGTGCGCAATCTGGCTGAATAGCGGCAATAGCTCACCTTTAAATAGCCTCACCCCGCTGCTTTTATATTGTGCGACTAACCCAGATTGGAGGTATAGAACGACGCACCAGCAATCGCCCCCAACATCATTAGCCTATGGCCCCCGATTGCATCGAAGCTGCCAAAGCTTGATGCTTGATTGGCTCCACTTTGCCGCGACAATCACCAAACCTGCGAAGCGTTCGGTTCCACGGGCCGGGGAAGTTGCCCACCCCTGTTGAAACAAAACGGGATTGTGCCCCATCAGGGGTTCAAAAATTCGGCATTTCCTGAAATCGCTCTGATACGCGTAATGTTCCATCTGCGGGGCTGTTGCGCCTTGTCGTTCCCAGCACGGGGCGCCAGTGCCGTCACTCATAACAGCACCACGGCCCCTGCGAGACGGACAGACGATTTTCTTCTGTTTCGCGCGTTGGAATCCGCTTTCTTCGTGCGAGGCAACTCTCAACACTCTCCACGCTTTACGGTCGAACGAGCCTTATAATGTCCCTCCCCAATGGGCTCATCTCGTTCGGCCCCGGTGCAAACTGCACCCTCGAGATCTGTCCCGTCGAATGGAGCATTCTCCAGTACCGACCGTCTGTCCCCTCCAGTGCCGTCTTTATCGCGATTTTTGGCCTTTCGCTGCTGTTGAATGTCGGTCAGGGGATCTATTACCACACATGGGGGTACATGTCGAGTTTGGTTGCCGGATGCATACTCGAGATTGCGGGATATGTCGGTCGGCTGATTCTATACAATAATCCATTTGATTTCTCTGGCTTTCTTCTGCAGATTGGTAAGATGGTCGCATAGCGATAGTTTGTGCTTGCCAGTCAAACATCTAATTATTGTCTGCGACAGTGTGCATCACAGTCGCCCCTGTCTTCTTCTGCGCTGCCATCTACGTCCTCCTCTCGCAAACGTGAGCGCCATTGGATCCATCCCCCGTCGATAATCTAACAACCTGCAGAATAACACACATAAACCCGCACATCTCGCGCTTCAAGCCCAAACTCCTCTACTGGATCTTTATCCCCTGCGACATCGTCTCCCTAGTCCTCCAAGCCGTCGGCGGCGCGCTCTCCTGCATCGCATCCACCGAAGACGGTGTGCAGCTCGGCGTCGACATCTCGCTCGCGGGCCTGGTCTTCCAGGTCTTCACGCTGACAACCTTCACCGTGACGTTTCTAGACTACCTAAACTCGTGCCGCCGACATAGGATGCAGCTTGACCGCCGCATGAAGGTCTTCCTGTACCTGCTCTTCCTCTCGATTTTTCTGATCTTGCTTCGCTGTGTGTATCGCGTTGTCGAGTTGCATGAGGGGTATTTTAGTCATTTCTTTAGGGATGAGGTCCTTTTTATTGCGCTTGAGTCGGCGTATGTATTCCTGCATTCTCTCTATCTCGTCCCCTCCGAATCTCGGCCCCAGGACATGCTAACGCGCGCGTTTGACAGGATCATGGGCGCCGCGGCGATTACGATGAACCTTGGGCACCCCGGCCTCGTGTTTGGAAAGAAGTACAAGAAAGGTGACATCAGCGAAATGGACTTGCAATTCGCGTTGCTAAACGTCGACGCAGATACTGGACGGCCGAGGACGTAAAATTGGGATGGAGAGGAGATCTGGTTCTATTTTGTTTTGCTTGGGGGCAAAGGACAGCGACATAATGAGGCCTGCCAAGTCGGATTGGCACTGTTCGGCTTAGCGGGATACCTTAGTTTTGTTTTACTCGGTGGTTTCATAAAACACTTCATATGTATCTAATGTCTAATGGATCGGCAATTCACATGTACCCCCGTGGGGCCAACGTGCCTCAAGAGGCGAATTTTCGAGGCGGCACTGCCAATCACTCGCCGCGTCGGAAACGCAACTTTTCATCTCGTTTCCACGGACAGCATAAAGGAGGCTAATGTTTCAAACTACCTCTATGCGGCCATATAAATCGGCGTCGATCCCTCGGCAAGAACCCTCATCACAGAGACACCCTCGCACCAATGCCGAACCAGCTCCGAAACATGAAACGCTCTTCCCCGGAGGACCAGGATGCAATCTCCCTGTAACTTTATGAATGTATAAACCTCTCGAGCTGCTTCGTCCCCTCGACTCCTTCCAGGATCGCACTAAACTCGCGACTCCCACTCACGCTGCTACTATCACCATCATCTCCCAGCTATATAAGCACCGGTATCGGGGAGCCTTCCCATGCCCTAGCTACCCCAGCACTCGCGTCCTTTAACCGACTATATATTCCGATGCTCTCCCGCAGAGATCTCCTGTGGGATGGGCGTATACTTCCAGCGACTCATATACGCAAGTGTTGGTGGCCGACTCTTGACTTCACCTCCGTTCGTGGTCGCGTATACACCCATCAGTATACGCGGCCGATCAGTGTTCCTGTCAGAGCACAATAGAGTCCGTGTTATCAGCACAAATGAAGGGTAATTAATCAGCATATATCGAATGAAGAAATGTATCAGGACTGAAAAAAAAGAAGGCAGGTATAACTAACTAATAAACCTTCCTCCTCCCCGCTTGACAGTCCCCGAGCTCACTCGGCCCAGCGCAATCCTCCCGGAGGGTTTGCCTCCTGGGGAGGAGGGGGATACCGAAAACACAATGGCTACCGTCCCCTTCAGCCACGACACTGGGTCCTACCGGGTCGTTCGGAGACCAGGAGCGTGGGATGTCCCTAGTAGCTGGTTCGATCTCTGGGATATCAGGCTGTCCGGAACTTGTCGCGCGCAGACGGAGTGCCCGTCTTGTCTCCCCTTTTGTTCTTCTCAAGATGATGCCTAGGTCGATGTGCTGGGATTGTGTGAGGAAGATGGTAATCCCAGCTTCCTCTTCACTATCAGTGTGTGGATCGACTGCGAGATCAACAGAGAACGAGAACACCGATCCTGTCTAACTCCAGGTAACAAAGGCGATGTCCTGCTATGTGTTATCGATAGAGGATAAGGAGGACCCTGTGAGATTCAATATCAACGGAACGAGCTTAAGCCAGCCGAGCTGTTCGCGAGGATATGGTACATATGAATCCTCGGCTCTGGAGCGGTGGTGGACGAAGTGAATTGGTAGTGAGGAGCCTGAAGGGAAGGAGTCGATATCGCTGGCGCCGTCTACGACGGGGTACTTTACAAGATCTACCACAGGCCTCGCTGGTCCAGAGGGACAGAAATGATGCCAACCGGTTATCTTTCCGCGTACACGGTCGAGTACAAGCCACCCTCCTGCTCCCAAAGTCACCGGCGTAAAGACCGTCACTCGACCCATGGGCGTCCACGGCGAATCGAGCGCCCTCTGTGTAGCTACTGCAGCAGCCCACAACTCGCCGCACGAGTCCTGGAAGAAGTCAGCACGGCTAAACGTCGGGAAGAACTCGTCCGTGCCCCCATTCGTCAAGATGGGATTGCCCGAGTAACTCTCGTACGGCCCGTAGATCGAGCCACGCGCTCGGGCAATGGTGGCCGAGTAATTCAGTCCGATACCGCCCTCGGTGACAAGGAGGTAGAAGTAGCCATCCTGCTTGAAAATGTGTGGGCCTTCTGGATTGGAACCACCCAGACTGGTCTAGATGATCACGGGTGTTGACGACGAGCCGGTTTCGAGGCTCACTTCCGCGAGGTAGATAGCGCCAGCCGGAGCGAGGTACACCGTGTCGTTCTCGTCGTCCCTGAATAAATCTAGATGGATCGATAGTTCCTCCAGGGTTGCCAGTTTCAATGGGCATACTCCACTTGCTGCTCTCGGAAGGATCGTTGGTCTTGAAGAGCAGAATAGGGGAAGCAGCAGTTATTCTTTAGTTACGTAAACAGATACTATACATTGTTTCGTATGACTTAGTGGAGTCGGAGCTTTGATTGTCAGGTTTGCTCAGTCTTGTCCCGCCAGCTTGCTGCCATGCACGACTGCTTATCACTGTTTGTACATACATGGAATGGTCTGTATTCCAGTCTGACAAAGATATTCGCTAGCTGCTCCTTTGCTCAAAAGTACGCGTCCTTGGAGAAAAGCCCGACAACTCGAGCCCAGGCGAGAGAGTTTGTTGAAAGCTGGTACAGCGGGTATTCTTTTTCGCCCTTGCCCCATTTCCACGCGTCTTCCAAACTCGAGCAATGGGCCTCATTTCCACGCTCGATACTCTCGTATGGCTCAACATTTGTATAGGGCTGGCCCCATGGTGCACGAACACATACTAAAGCCGGCCCCGCATCAGTCACTACCTTGGCAAAGAAACACCCGCCATCGCTCATTGCTTTTGTTGTGATGGGGATATCGATTAGAAAGCCATCGTCTGCCTTGCGTGTGAAAAGAACGCAGAAGCGGCCGCGCTTGGATAGCATCATTTGGATTTCCAGTATGAGCAGAATCGACAGGAACAGCTGGGGCTCCATGCCGGCAACGTCGCGCACCTCCGACACGGAGCGGCAGACAACCCGGCCTCTCAAGAAGTCACGCCATGGCCAGTTCTCCACGCGGATGGATTTGAGCAATAGCGCCAGGAATGCTGCGAGCGTCCAGCAGAAGATGGAGATATTGAAAGGGTCAACCCCGTTGATACGTCGTTCGACCGTGAGACCAATGGCAAGTCCACCCGTGACGAGAGTTGCACATACCCCCAGCGATCCATAGCAGTACCTGCGGTACAGAATAGTGATTGATTTTTCATCGATTGTCCAGGTTTCCAACTGATCGAGTCCCGCGGCTGTCCGACTATTCTCCGTGCGAAGGATATTACACAGCTCATTGTGCCCATATGGTGGGGGTCGTGGTTGCCTGGCAAGTGACCTTCCGGCCAGGGCTCTCTGTTGGGATATGCTACTTTCCCAGACACTGGTGACCTCGGCGTCGATTGGGTGGTTGTATGTACTGGTGCGAACCAAGAACGCTGCGAGGAACCTGACCTCGGTGCATAGCCTCACGCGATAGATGGGGTCCACCACGCGCATGGCGTTTGTGATCACGATCCTCAGCTGGCTCGCAAACTCGCCGCAGGCCATGGTATACGGGATCAAGGCAGTAATGACATGTCGCATTGACCGGAGCTTCATCTCTCCAGTTCTAACCTTCTTTGTCGATATATCTGATGCGCTGTCACCGACTGGGGAAAGTTCAGTCCATTTCCAATAGATGAGAGTGTACGGCTGGTCCAGCGCCGTACTCTCTGGCACAGGTAACTGCCCATGCAAGTTTTCGAACGCATCTAGGCATACTTCTGAGGCAAAGTCGGCACAGTGCACCTCACCGCGATGGCCGCTGGCGCCGATCGCTCCACTTCTCTCCTGGCAGAGGATGGAGCGCCGTCCTCTGAATCCCGTGTCGTACATTATAGAACTGGTTTCAAATACGTCCGGGTTTGTGGTTACGTCGTCGTTCGAGTGAAGCATTTTCAAGATATTTCTCACAAGCACGCCCATTGATTGGTAGAAGGCGTCCATGATTCGAAAATAGCGGTGGCCCAGGTGTACGTCCTCTGCCTGGAGTGCCGTCAATTGGATGTTTCTGGTCGTCTGCTGCGCTTTGTCCTCTGGTGGGGGAAAGTCAGCGCCGAGGTTCCTGCGGACCTGATTCTGCCATTCCCTCTCGGCAGCAATGCTAATGGCAGCAGCCTTGGGGAGGTCGAGTGCCACAACCTTGAGCTTTGCGGCAAGCTTGGCTACCGCAATCAGACAATGCTCGTCCCAGAAGTCCCCCTCTGCCGCACGCATAAGTACCTGGACCAGGATTCCAGTCACATAGTTCACCACAGCCTGGATGCACTCGTCGTTGTTTCTGATGAGCCGGATGGAGCCTTGGAACTTCTGAGTGGTAGCGTTTGGCCCATAATTCTTCAGCAGATTCAGCTTCACGCCGCGAAACGCGGCGGTATTGGCTATCGACGGGGTATTGTTGAGGAGCAAAATCTCATTATCCTGGAAAGCGATGTCAGAGGCGTGTAGGAGCTGGGTAGCGAGTTTGTCGAGTTGGTATAGCCTTCCAGGTTGGCTGCCCCAAACCATTTGTCGAGCCCCTCAAGCGCGATGGGGTTGGCCGCATTCACGATATTCACTAACCGATGCGTTTCCTTGGACCACAGCTCGTATTGCTCGGGCTCGGTGATATTGTACATGACCAAGTCGTTGAATCGCGGAAGATCAGTCAGATTATACCCTTCCATTAGTTTCAGAGTCTCATGGGCTTTGAGCTTTGTGACAATCTTGTCGGCATTGAGATTCCAGAATGTTCGTCTTGGAGCATAGTCACTCTGCTTTCCGGGGACATCAGTGGATTTAGCACCTGCTTGCGCGGTACTACCAATCGCCTGTTCAGGGTCCAGAAGCGTACTCTGGCGCTGGAGCTGTCTGCGGGGCGTCAGGCTACTGTGTCCCGGCGCCATGGTGGAGTGAAAATGTGCGTCCGACAGTGGAAGGTACAGATAGGCACTCGCAGTTTGAACCGGCAGGTCGGAAGGAATAAAGTGCAGTAGAAGAGGAACGACTTCACAGCGAGAATGAACAAGTCAAATGGGCGCGCACTTGGGACTGGGAATGCCTTGCTAGGAGTTAAATGACAGAGAAGGCCTTTGCGCGTGCAGGAAACAATTCTTCGAGCAAATCATGTGGGAACTCGATTTGGGGAATTGCTTTTTCTCACGCGAGCAAACATTCAAGATGCCAGGACGGGCATGTCCGTCACTTCCAAATGCCAAACGAAGTATTTGACGGCACCAATTAGCAGCCATATGCGTTGGAAAATTGTTCAGATTTCTTTTTCTTTTCAGCTGCCAAGGGGATGCAAGAGGTGATTGGAAGTCTGCCTGCATGAACGCCCAAGGGCCGGCATGGTTATTTGCCAAGTTGCTGACCAGTGGGCGGCTGGCCACCTGTTTGCTTATATTCAGAGATGAAACAGGAGGTTTCGCGGCCACGAGTCCCTCGCCATTTTACACAGCGCACTCTCAACCGATATTAGGTCCCACTCACAAGGTTGAATGAACACCGGGGAGAATGGCTGCGTTGCCTGATCTGTACGATGTATATGATAAACTGCGTCTGTCAAGGACAGACAAGCCAGACGCTGAGAAGACTCCCGAAGCCTTCAATGGCCGGTTCTTCGATGTCACGGAGGCGTGGCTGTCCGAAGATGAGCCTGGCGAGGCCTATCCAACGGGAGCGACTACGTCCTCCAGTTCAATATCAGACCGGCGATTTGGCGACTTCTCCTTGATCCTTCGCAGGATCATCGTTCCTCAGCGGAAGCCTCAGCTGCAGCTCGAAATTCAACCCATCTCCCTCCGCTCCGAGTTCCGACGAGCTGCTTCTCACTTGAGTAATGCCATAAACCTGAATGGTAACCCGATTGTCATTCCCGCTCCATATTCAGCGCTATATCACGCTCGGGATGAGCTGCAGACGGTCATCCAGCGAGCTGGTTCCGACCCTTTACGGCAGGAACTTCTTCTTCTCCAATGGTTCCAAGACGAGCATATGGCACGAGCAACGAAAGAGATTCAAAGTTCTTTGGACGTCGGAAAGATAAGCTTTGACTGTCTCTGGGCACTGTTCAAGCCCGGGGAACTGCTTTTATTGACAATTGAGGCCCCCATGGCTGATAGGCGGTCCATTTTCTCCTGCGGTGTTTGCCTGCAATACACCACATATGAGCGTGAAGGACTATGGGGAGTCCAAATTCGCCATATGGCTGTCGGTGATGGTGTTGTCGGGACTACGGACGTTCAATACACGTTCCCCATTTTCGTGGGTTACAAACCCATCGACTCCTTGCCTCTATATCCACTCCGATATTGCAAGGATGAGGCGCACATCCGCAAAGAACTAGCAGAGCGTGGAAGGAAATATCTACGACTTTGCTTCTCGGACCATGCTAGTCCTACCAGGACATCGCCTGTCATCCAACAGTATGCCGGACCTGTCTGGACGCAGGCCAAACAACGATCCACAAAAGGATGTTCCCTCTACGACCCTCCCACAACCACGGTACGTGTTGGATATGACCCCACTGCGCACGAACCCAAAGCAACTGACAAGGATGGATAGATCCATGGCCGTGTAATCATTGACCTCGCTGGGTTCGTCAATGAAAATTCCGTGTTCCAGACCAAAATCATCTCGTCCAACCTACGGGGATCTGGTAAAATAAACACCTACGACTCCAGCGACTACGATACCGAGCACTCAGCTAGCCACGTTGTTAGTCAACAGCCCCGTGGCACAACCGCTGGAGAGCAGGTCAACAATATAGATCACCTTGACTCCGAGGCATTAATGGCATTTCCAGCAAGAATCCCAGGCTACTCTCTAGTGACCAAAACGGTGGGCTTCCTAGCTGTTGATGGGATTGGCCCGGTAGCCTGGGAAACTGAAACCGTAAATGACCTGATGCAGAGAAACCGGCGTATGAAGCAGGTGCACGATATTGTCGCTGGGTTTACCTACCGAGCATATAGCTTTGGCTATTCTATCGCCGAAAAAGGGCGAGGCCTGGTTTTCCTGTTCTACGGACCTTCTGGAGGGGGCAAAACTTTGACTTCGGGTCAGTATATGGTCCTGCAGTCGTCCTTCAATTCGAAAGAGGACATACGCTAACATACGAGCTTAGAGTGCGTGGCGGAGTCCCTGGCTCGGCCTCTGTATCGCGTTAATGGATCCGACCTTGGATCCAACACCGATGAGATAGAGACCAACCTGCAGCTCGTGTTTGATAGAGTCGCTAGATGGGAGGCCATCCTTTTGCTGGATGAGGCAGATGCCTACATGGCCGAAAGAAAAGACGACAGTCTGGAAAGGAATACACTGGTGTCAAGTACGGGATCCCTTTGACCCGGCCATGCTAGCTTGCTATTCTCTTCTCTGACTCTGGACATATAGTCCTTCTACGGCTGCTCGAACACCAGTCAGCAATAGTCGTGTTGACTACCAATCGTTATCGCAGCTTCGATCCAGCATTTCACTCTCGTGTTCACGTCAGAATCCAATTCCCAGGCTTGACAGCTGACGAGAGAAAGGCCGTCTGGCGGACTTCATTGACTAAAGCGGCAGCCAGCACGCAACACGCAGTTGAGATATCCGACAAAGATTATGAGCGCCTTGGAGCCTTGGAACTTGATGGTCGTAGCATTCATAACGCCGTACGTGTTGCAGAACTGTCAACTAGACATAAAGATGGCGGAATAACGCTTGGGGATATCAAGTCAGTCTTGGAGATCTCTTTGGATACAGTCACTGAGACGTTGAGGGGCCAGCTTGAAGAGCTGTGTACCGTATAAAATAATGAAGTTAAATTCTCCTCATGTTTTATTTCGTCCCTTACTTTCGCTTCCTGGGTGGCAGTATCATATGGCATTACTCTATTCGCTCCATCTGGACCTACACTAACTTGAAACGACCAACCTATATCCAATGTTCCAAACTTCCGTTCTGCTTTGTTGAATACACTCTTCCCCTCTATGGCGTCGAGCCTAGAAAGCGTAGTCATACCCGACACTTGCTGCAATCGGGTATGATTTTTTTCTCCGTCCTCGATACCTGATGGGTGTCTACTAGTAGACCCTTTGTGCAGAGTCGGTGATATCTGTTGCAATCCTTTTTCGACGGAAACAGATAATTATTGCTACAAATATTAGTCAACGAGTGTGGCCAGGTAGTGTTTTAATGGAGCCAATATGCCTATTCTGGTTTCCTACTAATGATACTTGGGAGTATATGTCCGTGGCGAACTTCAATGCACTACGCAAAACCCTCGCAAAAACAAAGATTGACATTCTGCGAAGTCTGATCTCGCCTCACACAGTCACTGCGACCCGCCCATTATATCCGCAATCATTTCCTAGTTAAGGAATGTGGTCACTTGCAGGTCGACAGCGCGACCTGCCTGGATCTCGAACAACGCACCGGACGGACTGATCTTCATGACATCCCCAATCTGACTTCCAGAAGCCTCCAACTCTATCCAGAGATCCTCGCCTGGATTCTTAATCCCGGCCATTCTAACGTACTTAGCTCCTGTCGCACGATACCAGTCATGAAGCCGGACATTCGTCCTCCACGCGTCCCACCGAACAACCTCAAGCCCCATCTGTGCAGCAAGGTCCCGCGACCAGGTTATTAGCACTTCCCCAAGTCGTTCGTCGCGGCGATGAACAGCGGTCGCCATCTTCGAGATGTATAACGCCGGCGTTTGCTTGTCCGTTTCAGTCCAGTACCGGGCATCGCCTTCGGTTTCGACAGTGATCGTAGCGACAATCTCGTTTCGAGTTTCGTCCCTCAGAACCCACGTACGGCCGTTTGTAACGAAGTTGGTCATCCTGCGGCGAAAGCTGCCACTCGTTGTCCATTGCTCGTTTCCTTGGCTGCGGAGCCAGGCTACCCGGGTGTGCAGTATGGACAGAACCTCATCAAGGTCTGCTAATTGGGCCTTTCTCATTGTAAATGGCATTTTCATTCAGATGGTTTTGTGGTAAATTTGCACGCTTCCGGCGAGGGGATTTTGTGGTCGTTGGCTTTTCAGCTGCAGGACGAATTCGAATCTCGCATGTCGCCATCGACTATACAAACACCTATTATGATCCACAAACTACCCCTGTTCAGCATGTCACTATTGTCTGCCTACGAAATCAGACGTACTGCGTACGACTCTCATCCCATCCAGGCCTCAAATACTCCCCATCAAATTTGACATTCAACGCCGAAGCAAGGACATAATCCACCTGAAGTTTGATATCAACCCTAACCTCTCCACTGCCCTGATTCCACACTGCAAGTCCAACAACGTTATCTCCAGAATACTCCCAAATTCCAGGTGGGACCGGGAACGTATTGACCGCACTATTGATGTACGGATAGTATCGCCCGTACTGATATCCATTCACATAAAGATACGCACGGAAATTACTCGACTCCGACGATTTGTCTTCGAAACTGATCTTCACGCTCAAAGCGACGTCATGGCCCGCGGGCGTATCGAGGGGAAGGATGCCACGATAGAACTTTGCACCAGCGCCTGCGAACCCGTCGCTCGGGGTACTGGTTGACCATTCGGAGTCGTCAAACCCGGGTAGATGCCAGCCGAGACGCTCCGCGGTAAGTCCGCCTTCGTTGTAGTATGTGCGGACGGGGTCGATGGTTGTACCAGATGCACCCCCGGCGGTACCAGCCACTTTCCACGAGTTGAAACCACCAGATTCGCTATCAATGAGGGTGGCATTGATGATTCCGCGCACGTTCAGCGAGGCTGATCCCTGGTCATGGCCTGAGTTGTCTTGCAGAACCAGGAGGACGTTCTGCCCATCGGCCTTCAAACTCTCGGTGGGGAATTCGAGCTCCTTGGATCCGGATGATGAGCCGAGATCGCCGAGGAAGGAACCGATAAATGCTCCATTCAACCAGGCAGACCAGCCGTGTGCAATTCCACCTTGGACTTTCAGATTGACTCCTCCAGCGGAACCGTTGAAATACCCACGCCAGAGTTGCACACCGGCATGGAAACCGTACTCGTCGGCATACAAGTATGGCTTTGTGGCATCTTTGTATTTGCTCACTGTCGTCATATGGTCGGCATTCGCCCATGCAGGGCCTGAATCCGAATAGTTGGCGAATCGTTCAGGAAGGCTATCCTGGGCTTTCCAACTACGGAAGCTGGGAGCACTGAATCGCCTGGGACCATCAATCTTGGCCTTGAGGCTATTGTATTTGGTTTTGTGGGTCGCTAAGGTCTTCCCATTCCATTTCACAGTGTGGACTCGGCTTTCAGTAAACACCTCGAGTTCGGTTGCCTGGCTCGAGTCGCCGCGGAGAGATATAGTGTGACGATCGAGTTTCGCCGACCTTACAAGGTATGGTCCTTGAACGAAAGCTATCTTCTGTTAGATTCGAATCATCTCAGCTCGTCGAATCCGATTATACTCACCCACTTGGTTGGCCGGCACTCGAGGATCGCTCGTCAACGCAGGAGCCCAGAACAGATGCACAGTGTCCCGATCCATGACAATAACCCGGGCATCATCGTCAAGCATTAGCACTGTCATGCCTTGTTGCTCCTTGAAGTTGACAATCAATCCTTCTCGTGACCGGGAAAACTTGACCTCTGCCTTCCCTCCAGCAACCACCTTGCCAGACTTTGCACCCTGTACGAAGAACTCCCCGCCTTCTCCATTGGGAACCCATAGGGCGAGCGTCGGCTCCTTGTCGAAGATCCCATAAGTGAGAACCTCGGCCGTCGAGTAGATCAAGTTTCTATTGCCGAAGCGGAAATCCGTCACCAGAATCTTCTGGATATGCCCGTTGAGACCGATGGTCCCCTGCTCCAGAGTTGGCAGCGTGAAATTGCCCACCGAAGTCCGCACAGACAGTCTAAACGTCTGCTCATCATTACTCGTTGGATCCGTATGTCGAATCGCATAGATTCCTGCATCAGTATCCGGATTACGGAGCTCAATCGTCGTGACGGCCTCATTATTCGTGTACAACGTACTATTTCCCACGAGATCCGTCTTGGTCAAATCCGTTGCCGACCTGGTGAACAGCGCAAGGCTCTTGATCTCATAAAACTTGGCCCCGATCGCTCGGTTCTCCGCAATCGCCGCGGAATAGCCATAACTCGTCGGAACAAACGGCGCGGCGAGCCATCCCCAGTTCGTCCCGCCGTAAAACATGTACAGGCCGAGGATTGTCACGCGCTGAGCGACATTGTCGCGGTAGTAGAAGTTGACGAACGCGTCGTCGGTTTTTGCCTCGCATCCGCCTGCCGGGCCGTCCCAGGGATTCATGGCGCCACCCTGGAACTCGGGCATCATGGATGGTTGCTTGGGAGATACTTCGTTGAAGTGTGCGGTGTAGTCCATGAGCGTGAATGACGGGTTCGAGGTGCTGCAGTCCTCCGGCATGCACGACCAGCAGGATGGCTTGTCTGGTCAGAACGCCCCAATCCAATGCCGACGCAATACGGAGTAAACTCACATAGTTATCCAACCCATAGATATGCACATTTCCACCTGCACCGACGGTGTCATAATCCACAGACCAGGACTTGTACCGCTGCCCGGGCATATTATGCGTTAGTGGAATATCGATGCCCCTAGCCTGCATCTGCTCAAACAGTTCCTCCATATACGCAATCGGCACCGGGTTAGGCGTCTTAGCCTCGACATCGGCCCACTGTTGCGGGAACTCGTTCTCGATCTGAAAGAGGATGACAGTGCCGTTTCGTGTGACCTGGTAGGGAGCCGTTATCTCCGCCACGCGATCCATGTACGGTTTCCACTTCGCCTCCCAGGCTGTATTATTGTCGCGCAGGGCACCGTATTCCCCCGTCGTAATCCACAGGGGCATTCCTCCGGCATTCAGCTCCGCATTGATATACGGCCCCGGCCGCGAATGCACAAAGAGACCAAGTTCCTTCGCGATCTCGTACAACCTGCCGAGATCATGTGCACCAGACTCGAAATCCAACGAGCCCGGATCAGAGGTCGGCATGTGGAACCCCCAGTGGTTATAGAACGACATGGTATTCATCCCCGAGGCCTTGATCTTCTCCATGATGTCGACCCAGAGCTCTGGGACGGGGATACGGAATGGATGGAACTCGCCGCCGAAGGAGAAGAGGCGCTCGCCGTTGTAGATGAGGCTGTAGTGGTCCCATTGGACGGTTTTGTCGCCGAGTCCTGTGTCGCGGATTGGCCATTCTGTGTCTGAGGCGAGGGAATGGGGTATCGTTGCGAAGGAGAGGACAGAGGCAAGAGCTGCCAGGACCTTGGTTAGCGGGGACAGCGTCATCATGCCGGCTAAACTTACGACTATCTAACCTACACCGATCTTTCTCCATTCGAGACCCATTTTATAGTTTTGCGAGGCTAGATGAGTTAACCCGAAACAAGACCCTTGATCGACACAGAAATCCAACCGATCCCGGTTTATTTCATCGCCCACCAACCCTATCCTCGATTCCTCCACGAATCACGAGAGCGCCGATCCTAGAGCGCATCTGCCCACCGAAACAGGGACTTGCCCCTCCGGCTACCCCGCATACTTCCCCAGGCCTCCAAAGCAGAGTCATAGAACACATGTGCGGGGGATACTTCCACCCATCGGATGCCTTTACACCGAAGCTCGCATACACGTATATTTGATCGCTGGCGCGGCATAGAAAATCCACCAACCATTACACGTCGTAAATAAGGAAGCGCCGATCTTTTGGGGGTGCATCGACATGTTGCAATCATATAGCAGTACACATTTATCACCAGGCTTTATGTTCGATTTATCAAGACACAGAAAACATCTACCCGACACCACGGGCATAGGCTACAAGCCAATCGGCAAGCGGGCGGGGGCCTGGTGCTGACATGCGTATGTGTAATTTTATCTAATCTGCACTATGGACTTGATAGCTAGCCTTCTTGAACCAGCGCTGTTCTATCCAAGTTTGGAGCATGCAAGTCCCCATCTCATACTCCTCCTGGCATACAAATCACGTGACCACGATCTTTCTCCCACGGATCCGAGACCCACATTTCTGACAACATCCATCAAGCATTTCTCATCCAGACACGCAACAACGATGGGCGTCATCGACTTCATAAAAGACATCCTGCGCCCCGGAAACGGGGTTGATTACCCGAAGCCCGGTGATATGGTCACCGTGCACTATCATGGGTACCTGTATGACCCGACACGGTCGTGGAATAGGGGCCGTCGGTATGTTGCGTTTCTTCTCTAGTTCTGGTCTCAATGGAACAGCAAATCTGGTCTTGGGGGTTGAGATTGGTATATACGCGGGCGGGGACCTTTGGAAAGTCGCTTGGTGAGGATGCGATGGTCGCTGATTCTGGGTAGATTCGACAGTAGCATCAAGCGGGGTATCCCGTTTACGTTTCAGGTTGGGATGGGGAAGGTTATTAAAGGTCTGTGGCGGCGGATCCTAAACTGAAGTAGCGATGTGCTAATGGCATTTTAGGATGGGAGGTTGGGATTCTGGGTATGAGCCTCGGTGAGAAGGCGCTGCTTACCTTTGGACCGTATGTCTATGCGCCCCCCCCCCCCCAAAACACTTCTAGCTGTATAACCATTTGCACTATCAAAACTGGTGTTTCTGCTAACGCGGTACGGTAGTCATTATGGATATGGTGCCAAGTATGTTCCTCAAGCCTTGTTCGACAATGTGCCGAGATGTACTAACATAGTGAAAAGAGGAGCGCCTCCATTCATCCCGGGAAACTCCACGCTCGTCTTGTAAGTTGCCTGCCAATTCCCGGGAGACACTAAGCTAAGTCCGCATAGTAACGTCGAGTTACTTGCCATCAACGGGAAAACGTTGCAGTCCGATGACTCGGAGTGATTACTGCATTTGTGTCCCATAGAGATCTGTTGTATGAATAGGACGAACAACGACAGGCATGCGATGTGTATGATGTAGTCAAAAGCAATAAATCGTTCGGTAAATATGTGTATGTTCCGGCCCAGCCATTGGTGTTGAATCTTGCATCTGCGAAACCGCTGGGCGATGTCAAGCTACCATGGATCTTTACCTCCTAATCTCTTTGTACCCCGGCACACTACGGCTTTCGCAAGTTTCAATTCGGAATACGTTACGAGTACTACCTACCCGCTACCCGCGGGTGAAACAATAGCAATGAGACGAGGATCATGATGAAGATAGAGATGAGGATAGCGATGATACTTTAACAAACAACATCCTGCAACAGTCTACTCACTTGGAGCTCAATTCTTCGCGCCACACGGCAATAATAGCGAATAGAACTTGATTCCTAACACAAATGTTTTCACTACTAGTAGTGTATCCGTCGCAGGATAACTGAGCCGGCTCCGCACGAAAGGATTCAGCGCTCAACAGATAGAAACATCAAGGTACTGAGAATACACCCGTAAACAACGCCATGCCCAGCTCCTCCGCGACAATCGAGAATGCAAACGGCCTGTCGAAAATGATATCAGGGGGTGGTCTCGATGGCCCGCGGCCTCGGCTGATCATGACTGCAGTCGCAGCGGCAGCCTCGGTTCCCTGTTCGTCGAGGATAATAGTCACACTATGCACGATCTGGTCGACAAGATTGTCTCCCGACGCCATGGCGGAGAAGTTGCCAGATAAAGGATACCCAAGCTCCTGTAGTAAAGGCTTGATGCTGTCCTTGGTCTGGAGGTTGAACTTGGGGAGGCCGAATTTTCCAACTTTGAACTTGTAGAAACTGTCCTTGTCGTATTGGCAGATTTGAGGTAGGATGTCTTGGACGGACTTGTCTTTCTTCGGCAGATATGCGACCAAGGACCATTCCGAAGGGAGGGTGGCGACATATGGTAGGCGTACCGCGGTGTAGTCGCCTTTTTCGCTGACGAGGATGGAGTCTCGATGACGGAACATCATCTCCACTTGCTTCGTCGTATTGAAAGCATGGTCTGTGATGGTGTTCGTTGGGTCGAAAGCCGTTTCCCAGGTGGCCTTGAACACCAGCGCATTGATCAGGACCATGTGCGAGAGGTCCAGCATGTCCCGCGTGAGCATGTTCTTGATGAGCCCATCCGTCTCTTGTTCGATCCAACCATTTATCTGGTCGACGCCATCAGCAAGATTGGTGAAATCGGAATTGATATACGCGTTCAGCTGCTCTAGGTACCGAACATAGTCAGGAAACACTTCAGTGGATTTCGTCGTAAACAACGCATTGGCCGAGTTGAACCTTATCGCTTCAGATTTCAGCGTCTTGAACACCTTTGATAGCACAGTGGTTATTTCGCTCGCATTTCCAAGACCTAGACTTGAACAGAGTTCTTCACGATGGGTGCCTTGAGCTCCGCCTGCCAGCATGGCCAGCGCAGTGGTGATAGACAGCGCAGACACGGCGGTTCCACTGGGAGGAACGCCGTTCGAACAGAGCTGGCTGACCGTATTCCATCCCAGCTCGTTGACCTTGTCGACAACGGCGCGGGCTTTGGCGTTTCGGAGGGACATCTTGACTAAGGAGGTTGTGGTGGTGGGGTTCGTATGCGGCTGAAGCGAGGTTGGTTCAAGGTTTCAGCCTATCACGCTGTTGTTTCTGCCAAGGGCTAAGCAGGCATTACCTCGGAAGGTATTTTGAGGAAGAGGCAAAGGGCTACTAGGTACAGATGACCTCAACAAGAACCTCATCGAACTTCTCATTCGACCAGGAACCCTCCTTTGACTTTCGCTATCTGCATACGAAAGTAGTTCGCTATAGCTCTATCTAATTCATTACATTCCTCTGAACGTTTTTTCCAGTTTCCACAACCATCGCTACTCCTATCGATGCTCACCTCGATCCAAGTATGAGGTCTACAGGGGTGTTTAGCCGCAGTCTAGTACGTGGTCTTGTCGCCGCTGAAGCTGTCTAGGCTCTGCCAGTCTCAAGCACTAGTGCAAAATATATATTGCCTGAGCTAAACCGGTTCTAAGCATATTAAAGGTGAAGCGGGGAGTTCATGACGCATAGAGAACTAATATGTAGGATCGTTAAATATCTACAGATTTATAAGCCTTCACCTAAGCATCTCGTCAGTGAATAATAGCTCCATTTTTCTCCTTAATGAGGCTCACCTCGGTCGACCATCTTGTTCTCGGGCTGCTTCCGCGCTCTCCACCACCGCATAACCGCCTGATAGTAGAAATACGTCTCAAAAGTCCCCCAGATGCTCAGCAATACAATCAAAACAATCCTAACGTTTTTGCTGATCCCCAGACCCTCGAGGGTGATTTTTGGCAATTCTGGGTTGCTGGTTTGGGTGGATTTCCGATCCGCATTCGGCGCCCTGGCCGGTTTTTGAAGTGAGACTGCGCCCGTCGAGAATGCGGGGGCCCACGGCTGCCTGGCTGCGCTCGGGAGATTTATTCGAAGATGCAAGGGCTGAGGCTTCAAACTGCATGGAGATGCGCGATGGATGAGGGAGCGATGGATCGATCGCAGGGAAGACATTTTGATGATGTTGGTTGTTAAGTGTTGTCGAGGGGTGATCGGGATGCGACCGGGAGGCCGGTTATATACGGGGCGCTTGAGTCACAGCCGGCTTGGCTACATATGACTTGGCGACTTGGCTGAAGTCAGTCGCTTGGTATTTTGTATTTGTTGCTATACAGCGACATCTTCATCCTCTTGAGCCTCATCATCGCATCCACCTTGTGACCCTGATCACATCGCAAAGCAACGCATGCAACAGTGACCTGTGGAACAAGTGGGCCACCGCACACAATATAAATAGACGCCCCACAGGCAACCCCCGTCGAGGCGATGATTCGAGCACCGTCACAAGCCAATTCCGGCGACGCCCAGAAAAGCTGAGAGACCTAAGCTCCTGTTGGCTGGGCCCAGCAAGCTTAGAGGCGAGCCATGCCTATCAGAGACGTAGTTCAGGGACAAGGGTCCATGTCTTGGGCGCAGTGGCTCAGGATCAGCACTGCCTGCCAAATCACAACGTGCCTCTCATCAGGATCCTTCCTTTTAAGACCGTGGGCGACTTGATTTTGGCCCCATGGATTTGGAGGTCGGTCTCAGCCGCTTTCCTCACTTGTTTCACCTGCGCCGTTCGCTGGTTCCCGGTTTGTTCCTGATTCTGCTTCTCTCACATCCATCGTGCCATGCACTTTCTCATCCCCGTCAGCCCTGCTGGTTGACTTTCTCTCGATTCCTCCCCATGGACTAGATACAATGTTGAAGCCTAGGAGACAGAGCATCCCCGTGCCATTCATCGTCCGTCGGCGACTCTCCATCTTGATTCTTGTTGTTCTCTTCATCTTTGTCCTCCACTGCCTCCCGTCGCATAACAAGCGCGTCGTCGGTGGGAAATGGCTGCCCGATTATGACGTCGAGGAGCGCCCGCGCTACCTGCATCGTTCCTCGTATCGACAATCGCCTGATTATGCATTTGAGCGCAGAGTTTCGGGGGCTCTCGAACAAATCGAACGAAATGCCATCGCGGAGAATGGCGACTTGCGCGCAGACGATCGCATTTGGCAGATTCGACTCGGAACTCCGAATACCGAGCGGGGGTCCGATTCGCTGCAATTTGAGGAGAAGAACAAGGAGTGGCAGTACACTGTGAGATCTATCGATTGAGTATGGGTTTGGGTCTCGGCTAATACTTTGCAGTTAGTGACAGATGCCCAAGCCGACGAGTTCATCACAAAGACCCTCTCCACCGTCCCCGACCTCAAGAAGCTCTACGACTCCTATCCATACCACGTCATCCGGTCGGACCTCCTTCGCTACCTCTTACTGTGGTACTACGGAGGCTACTATGCCGACTCAGACGTCTATCCCGCCAAATCCATCAAGTCGTGTCCCTCGCTGAAACCTGTATTCGGGGACGCCAATACTGCAAAAAACGTGTCGCTCGTTGTCGGAGTCGAGATTGACGAACCGCACGCATCGCCTCAGCTGATGCACGACTGGCATTGGATCCGGACATACGGGCTGATCCAGTACAACATCTATGCGCCGCAGCGATTCAGTCCGCTGCTCCGGGAGGTTATCGTGCGCGTGCTGTCGCACACGCGTCAACATAACCGACATAGCATACCCCTGATAGGACCTCGATATAACGAAAAGACCATCCTCGAAGTCACCGGACCGGGCGTCTTCACCGACGCAATCCTCGACGCCTTAACCGACGAATTACCGACGACACATCCATTAATCAAGACGTCCGTCGACGCCGACGAGCCCTTCGGCGATCTCGTCTCGCGCGCCGGCGCGCACTATCGGCGAGTGACTTGGGCGCCGTTCCACAAGATCCAGGAACCACTCTGCGTCGATGCGGATGAAGCTGCGGTCGGCAAGCGGATGGGCGGGCTGTGCGTGCTTCCGATCAACGCCTGGGGTAATGGGCAGCGACATAGTGGTGCGGAGAACTTTCAGAGTAAGCACGCTTGTATAAATCATCGGTTTGGAGGGAGTTGGAAGAAGACTTGGTGGAGCAGCCATTTTGGGTAGGCAGTGTACATTATTACGATAGACGGCGTCCGTGAGATACCTTTTGAATTGTGAATTCTGGAATAGTACCAAGCTTCTGAGCTATTCAACGGCTTCCCCACACTCCAGAACCCCGTCCAGACTGCTCGCCAAGGCAGTTCATGTGGAAACGTCGAGGCTCGGCTGGACGCGCGGGCCGCGGTGCTCGTCGGCTCTCTCGGTGCGGGGATCCTGAAACTGCACTATGCACCATCAACGGTTTTGTGGAAATGAGCTCTATCAGAAAGAAAGAGAAACACATCATTGGCATCTCTCGCTTTGACCTTGCCCTTCCCTCTCTCGCTCAATCGGAGGCCGTGGCTTCCCTGGTCCCGTCATTTCCCCAGCTCCTGCGGCGAACGGCTTCTCTTGGCCGGTTCCCCCTCCTCTGGACATAACGGAAGCATGTGCTTCGACGATAGAGAAAGTCTGTTAAAAGCTGCTCGGTCGGCTCGATCTCGTCTCCCTCCATGAGTCGCCCGTCGTTTTGACTCTCGATACCAGTACCAGCCAATAACCCACCATGGCGGAATACACCTCCGAAGCGGACGTCGAGGTCGCGTACACAACCCTCCGCCGGACCTTCGCATCCGGCAAAACCAAGGAGATCGCGTGGCGGAAATGGCAGCTGAAGCAGATCTGGTGGATGGTCGACGAGAACGAAGAGCTCATCCGCGCAGCGCTGAAAAAGGACATGAACAGACACCCGTTCGAGACGACCTTTACCGAGTGCGCAAACGTCAAGGGCGACCTCATCGAGCACCTCAAGAACATCGACAAGTGGACCGCCGACCAGAAGCCCGATGCCGGTATTATGGGGTTCCTGCTTAGGCCGACGGTGAGGCCGGAGCCCCTGGGGGTTGCGCTTATTATTGGACCGTGGAATTTCCCGTTCTCGCTGCTTGTTCAGCCGCTTATTGCGGCTGTTACCGCGGGGTGTGCGGTTTTGTTGAAGCCGAGTGAGGTTACCACTGCGGTGCAGCAGCTTTTTGTTGATCTTGTGCCCAAGTATCTGGATAGTGATGCTGTGAGGGTTGTTACCGGTGGTGCGGCGGAGACGGGACGGTTGCTGCAGCGCAAGTTCGATCATATCTTCTTTACGGGGTCTGTGCCTGTTGCGAGACACATTGCTGCGGCCGCTGCGAAGCATCTTACGCCGACTGTCCTTGAACTCGGTGGGCAGTGTCCGGCGATTGTCGGTGCAAGTGCGGATATCGAGGCTGCGGCGAAGGATATAGCTTGGATCAAGTACCTCAACTCGGGGCAGATCTGTCTGTCTGTCAACCATGTGTTTGCACATCCGTCCATTGAACGAAAGCTCATTGAGCGCATGACGTACTGGTTCAATGAGTATAACAAGGGCGCTGCGGATACCATGACGCATATTGTCAATGACAAGAATTATCTCCGCTTGACTGGGCTTGCGGAGAAGACGGAGGGCAAGGTCGAGTTTGATGGGGTGCGCGATGAGAAGACGAGGAAGCTGCCTCCCACTATTGTCAGCGATGTTAAGCTGACTGGTATGTTGATTCATTGAGGATGCGAGAGCCACTGCTGACGAATAGATTCCCTCCTATCCGAGGAACTCTTTGGCAGCATCTGCCCTGTCGTCAAGGCGTCGACAAAGGAAGCTATTGACTCTATCAACAGGTGAGGCTCCCCTCGTCTATTCAGGACAATTGTTGACCGATAATAGTCTCCCACACCCGCTCGCCATCTACGTCTTCAGCAGCGATCAAAACGAAATCAACCGAGGTAAGTCCACAGTCCTTCCCATCACGCCCCTCTAACCTGGTCAAGTCATCTCCTCGACCCTCTCCGGCGGCGTAACCGTCAACGGCGTCCTCATCCATGCCATGGTCCCCGGCGCCCCCTTCGGCGGAGTGGGCGACTCGGGCCACGGCGCGTACCACGGCGACTACGGCTTCAAATCCTTTACGCACTACCGCACCATCGCACGCCCAACGCCCTTCTTCTTCAAAGCCACGGCATTCATGCGCCCGCCCTACACTTCCGCGAACATCAAGAAACTCGCCGTCCGCAATTCCGCCGGAATCAAGAAGAACTGGTCGTTGGAAAAGGAGCGCGAGTCCCACAAACGAGGTCTGGTCATTGCGAAATCCCTGCGTCTGCTCAAGGTTCTGGCGTGGGCGCTTGTCGTACTGGGGTTTGCTGATTTTGGCCTAGATCAGAGACTGGGTGTTCTTCGGGGCGTGAGGGATTTCCTGAGGGAGGTGAAGAGTTTCTTTTAGGGAGAACCTCTGACTTCTGATGGCAATCCTTTGCTCCTGGGACCTTGTCTGTGCGATGTACATAATGTACCAGCTTGCTACATCATGCGATACCATATCAATGGGGTTTCCTATCCGTCGACAAAATCAGTATATCAGAGGCTGTGGCTAAATAGACCCCGCCCCATTCGCTATTGACTGATCTGGTCGGTTTTCTTGTCTGTCTGTCTATCACTCCGTTTTGTATATGTACCCGTGTCTGCTTTGGTAGACAATTTCATCGTCTATGTTTCGAGATATCCGCTCCGTTCCAGTCATGCTCTTAGTCCAATCCATTCTATTCCTGTTTGAGGTTAATACAGCAGCTCGTAATTAGTGAAGATAGTGTATGCCGTGGCAATTGTCATGGCCGACGGGTCAAAATTCGGCCACGACACATCGAGCACTTGACTTCAGGCACCAGACCCTGTTTTAGGCCTGGGATACATATCTAGCCAGTAATAACAAAATTACTCCGTTGCTTAGCTCGCGTCTTGCGTGCACTAACTATCAACGAAGGTGAGTCACGTGAGCACCGCTCCTCACGGTCTGATGCCTGAGGCCCACAGGGTCAACACTAACGCCAAAATCTTCAACTTGGCGACAACTCGCGCCCTCTCCAAACTCCGAGGGGATCATTGTGGCATTTGGCCGACGCAGAGCCTAGCTTCTTGATCCTACCATGATCCGATGATGCTTGGAAGTGCAGGCGCGCGGCAATTATCTAAGACAGCATAAGCCACTGCAACCTAATGGATGGTCCCTCAGGGCTCAAGCCACAAAAATGACCCCCAGCCCACCACTGCCATCCAAATCCCGCTCGCGATCACGCACACCACCAAATCCAAATGCGACCGGATTCGGGCCCCTAAGATCACGGCGAGGCTGCAAAACCTGCAAAACGCGCCGCGTAAAATGCGGAGAGGAAAAACCAACCTGTCTCCGCTGCAGCAGCACCGGCCGGAAATGCGAGTATGAGGGGGCGAGATTCGGCACGTACTCCTCGGCTCCTGCGTCTACCGTCGTCTCACTCCTGGAATTCGACAAGCCGCGCTCGCCGTCATCGTCGCCGCCGGGTTCGAGCTCATCGAATTCCGTCTGGCGCGAGCGCCGCGCGTTCGCGTACTACTTCCAGCACGCCGCGTCGTTCGTCGGCGGACTCGATGCGGACTTTTGGAGTACTGTCGTCCCACAGGTTTGTCGGATTGAGCCCGCGGTTTGGGACGCGATTATTGCGCTGAGCGCCATGTTTGAGAATCGCGAGGAGGATTCGCACTCACACAGTTCTCCTAGTAGCAGTAGCAGTGCGAGTTTAACCGAGAACCGCCGTGATGCACTGGCGTGGTACTCGCGCTCCGTCAGCGCCGTTCGGCTGCGCATCGAGCGTGGGTTCGGCGATGTCTTCATTGGACTTATTAGTTGTGTCCTGTTCATTTGCATCGAGGCTCTTCAAGGAAGTACGGAGGAAGCGATTCGGCTTTATGCGCAGGGTGTCCAGCTTATTGCTGCGCTGCGCGCGCAGATTGCTGCTGGTGCTATACCGGCGAGTAAGGCTTCCCTGCTGGAGGATACGATTGTGCCGATTTTTGTTCGGTTGGCGATTATGGCGCTCACAGTCTCCGGCGTTTCGGTCGAGAATCTCATGTCGGAGACTGCGCAGCTTTTGACGGGCTTCGCGTCTCTGAAAGCTGCCCGGGAGGCTCTCGTCCTTCTGACCATTGAGATCCAGCAGTTCCAAGGAGTCTGCGAGGAGCATCACGCAAAGGTCAACTACACCGGCGACATCCCGCCCGAATTCTTCACGCACCAGACGGCGCTCTTCAACCGGTTGCGTAACTGGTACACAGCATTCACAGCCCTGACCAACACCCTCCGCCTGCAGATGAAAAACGAAACAATCCCACCGAAAGAAACAAGCACAATCGCGCTGCTGTCCGCATACCACGAAATGGCCCACACAATCACCGCAATCTGCATCTCGCCCCGGAAAACATTAACAGATCGCTATTTACAGAACTTCCAAAATATAGTCGACCACTCGCGCATCGCTCTCGACGCCTCGGCCCGCTCAGACGGGTCTCAGCCACCATTTACATTCGACATTGGCGTCGGGTTTCCCATTTGGTTTACGTGTCTCCGGTGCGCGGACCCCGGGATTCGCCGACAGGCACTTGCGCTGCTACGGCGCGCGCCGCAGGTCGAGGGATTTTATGGTAATGGGACGATCACTGTTTCCGCTGAGGCGATTATGGTCATTGAAGAGTCGCTCGCGGTGGCTATAAACGCGGTTCGGGAGAGGAACCCCGGCGGGAATGCGGATACGTCCCATATCTCCATCTTCGATGTAAACGGCTTCTCGGTTACGCGGGAGGGCCAAAACACTGCACTTCCAGTCCGTGTTCCTACCACGCTTGCTGTGGCGGATATCCCCGACGAGGCGCGCATCAAGCCGCTTGTTCCGTTCCGTCCGCGCGACGGGATTCCGCCGGGGCTTACGAATGAGCATGTGGAGAGATGGGGAAGAGCGGGTGATTGTTGGTTTCTGCTCTTTTCGAGATTGGATCGGGATCGGGATTCCGCGGAGCGGGGTGGGAATGGGTCGTGGAGGGAGGTTTTTGATTGTATACCCGCTGAGATGTATCCGTAGTCTGTTTGTGCTTATAGGGATGGTGATATGTTCATCCATCGAGCGGGGTTTGAGGGGTTGGTAGGTGACATAGTACGGTTGGGACATTGGTTAGCAGAGATTGTGGTGGCGTTATAGGAACGCACGATACCTGGGCATCAACTCCCGGATCTCTAGGAACACCAGTTCATTTGCATAGCTAGCTACCGGGAGAGAAAGCAGCCATTGAGACGGTGATGCTCAACAAGGAGAATATATTGGACTACAGATAGCCAGGATTCATAAAGAACATGAGGGTAGACCAAAACAGAGGGGCTCTTCAACAGTCCTCCGCGTGGTCTCTAACTGATTGCTCTGGCACCCTTCTCTAAGCATAACCATGACTTGGTCTTCGTTTGAAAATCAGCCTCTCTAGAGCGATGCGCCCCTTTGACCCTTGACGACGAAACGAGTCTGGATCCAAGCCACTGAATGCTGTCGAACCTTTGGTAAGTTGGTGGGCTTGGCGGCATGTCAAGTAGCCATCCCGGTTGGTAACGCAAGTATCTCAGCACTTAGCAAATGACCGATACAGAAACGGGGAGAAATCAAGGACTTGACATACTCAAATCCACAGCGCTTTTAATCCAGCGGCCCCGGCTGTTTGAGTAGCAAGTTCCCATACAAGGGACGGAGAAGCAATCCTACCCTCCATTGCACTAAAAAAGGAAGAAAGTGTTCAGCATCAGCTTCAGCACAATAATAAGCGCTTTGCCCAGTGAGGGGATCGGTTGGCAGAAACCTACGCGAAGATATCCATTGCGCTTGCTGGCGAAGTCAGAGAGATTCAGTGAAGGAGGCATAGTCCCTCCATTTTTAGCAGGGCAGGTCGCCCCGATGATACGTCCAGTGAAGGCCTAGTAATAACAAGAGCTCCAGGCTCCTTGGGCATGAGACTGAGAGTAGTACCTGCCCTGCCAGGTGGTGTTGCTTATGGCCGGTTGTGGAAGGCGTGAAGGGCCGGAAGCGAATTTCTCAGGTCACTGACCGCTCGCTCCACCCTCTCCCGCTCTATAAATCGTCCTCAACGTAATAATCAATTTTTTTTGCAGCGAGATTCTCTTTAGACCTTTCTGCTCCAGGTCCTTTCTACGTCGGCTAAGCACTCCGGGGCTGCCCCGGGGCAGTCGGACAATACTCCCCACGGGCGAGGTGAAAAGCCCTGTGTTGCATGACGAACAGTTCTCTGGCGATGACATATCGACAAGATCTCGCTTTCGCCAGTCGATGACGTCCTAGTCAGTGCTAGAAAAAAGCTTGCGTGACTACGTTATATTATCTGCCTATCATATACATACATCGTGAAGTCCATCTGGCATCTCATTTCTCGTTCCAACAACACCGGCTCCTATTGCAGCCGCACTTCTGCCTTCTGAGCTTCTGCCTGAATCTGGTCGATGTCCTTGCCGGTAGTCTGCAGGAGCCCCAAACGCTCTTCATGCCGGCATTCGAGCACGGCAAGCGTCGATGACTTCCATAGCGGAACATTGCGGCTTTTGCGATTGTTGATTATGCTCAGGATTGCGAACAAGATGGCGAAGCCCTCGGTCACAATAGGGACGACAAAGTAGCCCCAGCGGATCGACACGAATGGCACGCTCTCAATCAGCTCGCCTTGCGCAGTCTGCGTATCCGGACCGTACCGCACATAGTTGGTCATGGCAGTTGCCATCCTCTCGAACCGCTCCGTAATGTTCGTTTCCCCGGAGAGGGCGGCGGCGACGCCCAGGTCTCTGTTCCTAGCGTTTCCTATATTCCAGGACGTCGACATTGACGGTGACGCGAAGAATTGTTCAATCGCGGATAGTCTGGAGTATGTTATCTCAAGACGAGGGATAACCATATTGCCAACACTCGTCTCGTTGGTGTATAAAGGGCTGGTCAAGGTGAAACGTTCTAGAGACCACGGATTATCGACCCCGAAATCGACCTCTCGTCTATGTGCAAAGGAAATATTGGGCCCGTTCGCTGACGCCCCTGAGTACTCGTACGCCGTGAGGAAGAGAGAGCACTCTGTGACGTTCTCCATGGATATATTGAAATTGTGGTCTGGCGTCGACCTCCAGATTGCGAATCTGGCGATTTCGGGAAGGTTGGTCGTCTCGTTTCCCTGATTTTGCATCGCAGACGCGTTCATGACGAAGGTCATGGCGGAATTCGTGAATATCCATTCAGTTCGAAGGCCTAACCCATTCGGTGCTGTCATGTTACAGGAGGTGTTGGACCCTCGGGTCTCACAGCGGGCCGTTTGCAGTGTGGCCTCTGTCACATTTTTGCACTCGGACCTGAACCCTAGTGCTATGTATGATCCGCTCCATTGACATGTGCCAGAGCAACTAAAAGGTTCGGTGGTGTTGATCCCGTACAAGCCCTGGTATATTGCGGATTGCATACCGGGATCCTGCGGAATGGCCTCTTTCCAAGACCAGGTTAGCATTGCCTGTTCCTGGCTTCTGTGGTTAAGTCAAGGACGATGCTTACCTTCTAGAGCGGTTGCCGATCCTGGGAAATTGCGGTGGGAGTAGGTGTGTGCGTATCCAAAGGTCGCGCTACTGTCGGGAGTTGTGACATTACGCTGTTCGATGAGGACCACTTGCTGTGCAAATGGCGAGAAGCCCAGACGCAAGATTGAGACAAGCGCGCCGATCGTCGCCAAGTTCCAGGGGATGTAGGCGAGCAAAAGGAGGGATCCCCAGACGCCACGGCTGGCTCCGTCAAAGATTTCGAGATGCGCGAGTTTGCGCGGGCCTTTCTTAAAGTGAAGCCACTTGGATTGCCCGATGAATGTGCTGACTCCGTGCATCAGCGCCGTCGTGCAGGCGGTCGTGAGAATGGAAATTGTCGCGTTGAGAGAGACACGAGAGTTCCAGGCATCGAGGCGCTTGTTGTCCATATACGAGAAGATGATGGCGATCGCGATGAGGAGGCCCAAAGCCAGGATTGAACTGATGGACTCGTAAAGCCACTCGCTGGGCGAATAAATCGGATGCCGCCTGTACTCGACGGTCGCGCTCAGGGGATCAGAGCCGACCTCGGAGACATTGGCTGGCTCTCCCTGAGTTTTCTTGTTGCTGTCGTCGGAGGCCATGGTGAGAGAGTACGACTTGCGCGGAAACCCTCTCGAGCAAGTCAGGAAGAGAAGGACAGAAAGCGAGCAGAGGCCGTCCAGGGGCCTCTCGGAGGCTGGCCGGGTTTATGCCCGATCTTCAGCCCTGAACACGTTTGTTTGCATTATTTCTCAATTCAACCTTGCATCAGCCAGCCACCAGGTCTTTCGGTCTCCCCCGAGGTGAACGGTAAACCCGAAAGAGCGATAGTCAGAACTTTGATATCGCGGGGGCTGGTCAGGTTCCTTTTCCCAACTGGTCTGTCTCCCTCACGAGTCGAGGTCCATGGCGATCAGCACGCTCCAGCATGGGTGGTTGCATCTCAGCCCAGCAAAACGGCAGAGGGCGGATGGACACCTGCAGAGTGCGAACCAATCGACGAAGCGATAGCGAGCAAGTCTCTGCCCTCACAACCCTGCAATAGTGGAGGAGGTAGGGTTGTGATTGGTGGTAGGATCTTCCGAGCACCAAGTGGAAATTAGAGCATGCAAGGTCTCGCGCGCCAAAGGCTCTGTGACATGTGCAGAACGTTGCCTTGCTTGACTTTAACCGCCAAATTTCCAGTTTCCCCAGACACTAGACGATGGACACTAGACGATATATTCTTCATCCCTTCGGAACTATGCTCAGCGAAACTAAGCTATAGGGCTGGATTATACAACATTGAGTCCACAGTTGGGAGGCCTGATCCTCGATTAAAAGCTGACAGCGCCAAGGGACCGTGCTCACTGCTGCCAAATTTCCAAAGACTTGAAACCGCGATCGTCAAGACTGCGGCTGAAGCCCAGGAAATAAGATCCTGTCGCAGCCTCTTCTGCACTGGCCAGTTGCCTCGTATTCGATCCCCACCGGCTCCACTCCGCTAGTGGCCGCAACTCCTCCTCATCCAATCATCCCGGCTGCATCCCTGTCACATTGTGACAAACCACTCATCGTCGGACTGTTTGACAGGGCGAGGAATCAGAAAAAGACCAGGGTCCAACGCACGCGGAGGTTCGAACATGTTGTTCAACAGGGATATATTGGGGGCTGAATGGGGGCCAAACCTACACTGATACTTGGGATAACCTGATTGTGCACAAATCGCGGCTCACATCCATGACATTCGTCTTCTGGTGTGTCACTAAGCGAGCTGGTCCACGAGTACCAGACGGGCCGGGCCAGTTCCCAAGCCGATGCGTCCCTCCTCTCATTGGATAACGTGAAGTACACCAGGCCTGTTTCGTCCTCGCATATCAACGCTATCCTGGTTAAGGTTACAGTTTGGCTGGAAGCGTTGAAGACTCGAAATCGCGCGGAGGGCCTCCGCGCACGGAAAGGGCACTGACTCAGGAAGACCCCTGTTGACCCCGACTGGAGCTCGACTCAGCCCTGTTATTTATTATTTTTCCATGCGGTTCTGTTTGGGCGCCAGAGATGGGAATTCCGAGTATCAGCCGCGATTTCCAGCCGTTGGATATTTTAGCGTCGTCGTGTCCTGGGCCACGATGTGACGAGGTCCTCTTAAGAAAGTGAGTTTTAACTTTTGTTCCTGTACTTGAAGTTGCCCACACTTCTCGGAACAGGCATGCTGCTTCTTCTTTACTACCTCGTGGCGTCCGCCCTACTCCAGGTACAGCATGTTGCCGCACTTCCCCAGGGTCTTGCGCTATCCGAGACTTCCAGCGAACCATCGGCGACACCATTAGCCACGGCCCTCGCAGATGGAAACCGAACCTGCGACTTTGACAAGATCGACGACTTCTTCAGCTATGCCAACAAGAATGGCCTCAACATCACCGTCGAGGTTCAACACTGTCAGAACTTGTGCCTGCTCACATACGGCACGGGGAACCCTGATCTTTCAGGCATCGGCGTAAGTCCCCCATCCTCAAGGCTCCTCCAAAAGGTTCTTGACAGACTGACGGTGTTTTTCCCATTTGACTGTAGATGATGGTCGCATACACGCTTCAAACCACCTTCACCATCCTCCTCGGCCCCGTCTACCGCGTCCTTTACCTCACGTGCGGCCCAGTAAGCAGCTTCGTTCGTGACCTAAAAGACATCCAGATGAACTTTTTCTCCTCGAATGGCTTTTTCATCGGCTCTTCTGCCCTCGCAACGCTCGCGAACCTGTCGCAAAACCCACCCACCTTTGAAATTGCCGAAATGCAAGCCATGGCCTTTCTACAGGTCAACAGCATCCTCGTCACCTTCTTCTGCATGGTTATCGCGCAGCCAATGTCCCGCTGGGCCGCGCGCGTCTTCCTCTACTTCGTCGTGTTCGTCCTCGTAATCGTCGCGCTGGGCCTGGCCCACCTAAACGGCGATAGCAAGCGCGACTGGCGCCTCGCCTCGGACGGCTGCGCCCACAGCTCAACGGACTATGACGTGATCAACCCAATCCCATATCCCTCGTGGACTGTTGCCATCTTTGCGGTAGTAGGCACAGTCGCATTCTGGCTTCAGAGCCTGAGAGAGAAATTCCAGGCGGACAAACTGCACAAATCCGCGTTCCGCGTCCTCATGGCCTTCTGGGTCCTGCTCATCGGCCTCCTCGTTGCCGGAATGATTGTCGGTCTCGAGATGATGTGGCGCCAGCGCCGACACCTGAAGAGTCTGGCGCGCGACCAGTTCGAGGATGACCAGTGGGGGTTCGGGCAGATTGCCGCGTTAACGATTTGGGCGCCGATTGTCGTCGAGTTTATCTATATTCTAAATGGTGAGTCACTTCACTTTGTCCTATACTCAACTGTGAGTGTTCCATGGTGCTAACCTTTCTGCTCATTTTCAGACCTCGCGCAAGAGAAATCGAGACGGTGGGGTCGGGGGAATCATAGACTTAGCGTTATGCTGTCGCCGAAGATCTTGCAGGATGAACAGCCTGTGCCTAGCCAGGCGTCCGAGTCGCAAACGGAGATGAAGGAGCAGGGGGGGAGTCGGAGCATTGTTGAGGTTTCTGGTGCTCCGTAACGAGGCATGTTAATCTCGGTCCACGGTGCGTTAGTGGTCTGTTTTCCTTGCGAGTCGCCAGCCAAATCCTGGACTGGAATTTTCAGGCAGTCGAAAGTTTGACTTGCGATTCAGGGACTTCTCTCATGATGGCGCGAGGTGTCTGTAATGATTGACCAGAGATAGTATTCGTTGTTATATCCCAAATACTTTATGAATTCATGACAATGCGAAGATGCTCTCAGAACTCTCAGACCGTTGAGGGCGCCAACACACACAAGGATTCCCATCACCGCAGAGACCAACCACTTCTTGTACCACGATGTCTCAGCCCACACCTCCGATCAGTAATCAGGGCACATCTTCATCACCGCTAGCACCCGGTAAGCTTCAGTTCGCAATCTCTAATTGGACCGCTGAAGAAGAAACGCGGACTAGTACCTGAGTAGCCCTATGGCGTGCGGAACAAGCCGCTAGGGCTGCCCTCCCTATGGCTTCGGGATTTGTAAGATTAGTGATCAGGCGAATAATCGTCCTGATAGGAAAGGGACACTTATTAAATAGACCCTGCGGTGTTGCGCCACCGGTTTCGCTTTACGATGGATGGGCAGGCTGGCTGGGCTCGCTTGCGTCCTGTACCCAGGCCCAGCCCAGGGAGCGGGATTCATGAAGGAGGTTTCTCGCACTTCCCCCGTCTCCTTTGCTTTCTCCCTCTTCTCCTCCTCCGCTGTCCTCGCTTGTTGAACTCTGTCTCGAATTCTCATTTCAATTGCCAACCCTCAAACCAATCCCGTTGCTCCGGTGGCAGCATCCCGCAAGATGTCCCGACTAACCCTCCTCCTCCCCTTCCTCCTGATCCTGGTCCCATTCACAAAAGCCGCAGGCACAGTCCAAGATCTCTGGATCTTCCCCAGAGCACCTGACTTCACCTCGGAACTCACCGTCAACACAACGATCCAAATCCGCTGGCACGAGGAACTCCAGGCCGTCTTCGCGCAGTTCTGCACGCTGTGCGACACAACCAATGTCGATCTGTGGGTGACGGGGTCACAGTATGCAGAGGCTGTTGGGGGTATGTCATCTACCACCAAATCCCCCTTCCCTCTTCTCAACCTTACCCCAGCTATGCTATGTGGTGAAGTGGAAGGGTAGGTGTGCGAATGTGCTAATAACCTAACAGCCGGAATCGACGTGACCTCGACATTCTCATACAGCTGGAAGGTGGATCTTACAGAAAGCATCGTAGCCGCCTCGCCGGACTGGTCGTTTCGATTCCTGCCCTCGGGCGCCGTGTGGAATGGGACGGGCGGGCAGGAGATTTCCAGCGCGCAGTTTAGTGTCGTCGTCCCACCAGAGTCGTCGACCACCACCACCACCACAACCTCGACGACGTCGACGACTACCACAACGAGCACAAGCACGACATCCACAGCAGCAAAGACGCCCTCGCCCACTCCAACCCCAACCCCTCTCCCAGAAAGCGACGACGGCCTCTCCACGGGCGCCAAAGCCGGAATCGGCATTGGGGCTGCAGCCGGCGCAATCCTCCTCATCGGCCTATTCATCTTCTTCTGGCGCCGCCGCAAGGGAAACAAAGAGCCCATCCCGGCGTATGACGCGGCGTCCGACGCGAAGTTTCAGCCCGCGCCGGGGTATGCGTCGTTGGGCAGCCACTCGCACTCGCCGTCTCGCTCGATGGATGTTCATGAGGTTCCCACTGGGGAGTTTCAGGATGTTGCTGTTGTTGGGAAGGCGGCGGCGGAGTTGGGGGGTGGGGGTGCTGAGAGGGCGGAGATGGATGCGGGTGTGCATGGGGGTGGGAGGGGGGTGGCATTTGAATTGGAGGGGTCGAGATAAACAGACACGAGTGCCAATGGAGCTCAGCCTGTTGTGTCTAGGTGTATACATGGTTAATTGATGGGAAGATTTCGGGAGGATTTACTGCACAAATGCTACTTGATTTAGATCTCCTATTTCGGGCTTCATAATTTCAACAACATATACTCTGTCAAGTCTACCTTGGATAGGAAACTTCTCTCCAACGTGAAAGATGCCGAGTCCATTATTCTGGGCCGAGCTCACTTGAATCTTCAGCGAGTACGCAAACTTTGCCGGAAGAGTACAAGACTGCATGATTAGATATATCGATACTAGGAACAAGGCGCACTGCGCGTGTCGCTTTATTGCCTATAGACAATTCTGGTACTCCAAGGACTCGCAATAAAACTATATAATAGGCATAAATGTGATTATTATCCTATTTAATTAGTTAAAGTGGGATAGTAAAATAGGAGTAGTAGGAAATAATATGGTAGGTAAATTATAGGAAATAGTAAGATTATAAATCTAAGTCTATTTAGCATTTCTTACTACCTTCTAATCTTTCTCCTTTAGTAATTAGACCTATTTTATATTAGTTTTTCCTTTAAGAATAGCTAAATTAGTACCTTTTTTTAAAAGGTATTATTAATTATTTAGATTATAGTTCTTCTAATACTAAGCTTTTACCTAAAATATTAAGAATTTTATTAGCCACTAAATAAAGCCTAATTCGATACCAAAGGAACTTGACGCATCATGATAAGAGGTAACCGAAAATATAATGAGGCTGCCAAAGCTGAGGAGCATGGGTAGGATGAGAATGCTTGGGGCTCTGGGGTAGCTCGGGCGATCCTCTGAAGAGGCGTTAAAAGTCCGCCATAATACTCTTCAAGTGAAAAACGTGTTAGTACGAGAAATTTGTCTTAGGGTATTACATTGATTATTTAGCTTGGCTGGATTGTAAACTGCCAAACCACACTATTTAGGCTGAACTATTTACCATAGGCTAGATGTAATTAGGGCCTACTAAAGTGAATTCTACTAATCCTGCCTAAATTATTCCCTATCTAGAAACTAGAGTTAGGCCCTAAGAATACCACACTATTAGTATAGGTGGTGGTAGATTAGAGGACTTTGGCGACTGTGTCCCTTAGTAGCTTGTCCTGGCTAGTAGCGACATCTTTTAGTAGCGGGAGGATATCCTTGTTTATATTTAATTCATACACCTCATGCTTATATAGTTTACGCTGTTCTTCCTAGATTCCTGGGAAAAGATTAACCAAGTCGTCCACTAATTTGCTTACTAATTCGCTAATATCCTTAATCAGCCGGGAAAAATCCTTCTTATTATACATAGTCTATTTGTCTTACTCTAACTAGGACTTTCCCTGTCGTTCCTTTGCGAGATCTGCCATCTTCTAGTGAAGTGAGGCGGAGACGCTGTCTAACTCTTTAGTGGGGGCTAATACTAGTGCAGCGGCGTTGCGTTTCCTAAATCATTTCAAAGCAGCCTCGGCATCTGCAAAGAGCTGCAAAATCTGGTTAAGAAGTTCTTGGACCATGGTACAACCCTTGAGGCAGGGACCCAATAGCGAGGCGCTTTGCGGGCTTATAGATGCTGTTCACAGCTATGTTTCTGACAATTGGCTACGCGGCAAAAAATTAAATATCGCGGCAGAAACCACGCAGGCGTTCATTTCCGCATTATATGGTTGGACACTACCAGACATGCAAACTGGTCAGTCCATGGAGCCAATCGTCGTTGAAGCCATTGCGACGCACGCGATTTTGCCCGCTCTTTGCGGGTATGGGCTTTTGGAGGAACAAAAATATGACGAGGTTGGCGTACTAATGGAGCAGCCGCTGCTATACAAAGCGTGTTTAGCTAACAACATGGAAGCGATATCGAAGGTTGGATCATGGGTTTGGTATGCTGTGTCTCACCCGTGGTTTGGCGCATTTTCCTACCAGGACTATGCATCAGGAATAGTCATAGCTCCAGAATGGGACTGTGGGTTCGAGGTACAAACATTGCCGGGTTTGGAGCATGAATAGATTCTGGAGCTTATACAATATAGGCGAGTTGGGGATAGTACGTATATGACGAATGGATTCGCCTAGGCGAGGAAACTCCTTAGAGCTCATACAACCTTCCCAATTGCATTTAAGCGAGGATGAAGTGAGTTGCGGAGGAGAAGCAAGTGACAATGATAAGAGTGTCTCGAGATTGTGTGCAGTGGCCGACCTCAGCTGTGCTACCAAAATGTTCATGCCGAATAAAAAGCCTAGGAAAAGATCTGCCACCAAATTTATGTATATATATACTCAAAGCTTCAGCCAAAGCAAAAATGCCTTCATCCGCTTATTCGGCCCGAGCGAGGCCTCGACTCGCTCCAGCGTCTCCATCATCGCGTCGTGCAGCTGCATTGCCGTATCACGCGCATGCGCCAAACTCCCCGCCTCTTTCATCTCAGCGATAATCCACGTCTTCATGTCACGCGACAGCTCGCGGCCGTTCTCGCGATGGAATAGCAGTCCTCGAATCATATCCGCGGACGCACTGTTCTGTAGCGCATGCAGAAGCGGGAACGAGAATTTTCCCTCGGAGAGGTCTTCGCAGAAGCCTTTTGTGCCAGTGTACTATAGACCATTATTAACTGAGTCTGCATTGTCCGGGCTTGGCTTTTGCCATGCATACCTCATCTGATGTTAGATTCAGATAATCATCTCGAATCTGGTAGTATCGCCCCATGAGCGTGATGAGGTGCATCAGGTCAGCACAAGGTGCGGCTCCCGACTCAATTTCCATAAGGCGGAGAGCCATTCTGAAGAACCCGCCTGTTTTGTTATCGACCATGGTGAGGTACTCGCTTGTGGTTGGGCAGGCTTTTTGGAACTTCCAATACAGGTCGAGAGATTGCCCGAGCGCAAGAGTATCCAGTTCATCTGTCCACGGTTAGAGAGGGCTCGAAAGATTCCGAGAAATATGTGTAACACGCAACACATAGAATAGCTCTGAAGACATACCAAGAAAGGCTGCCTTGCACGCCGGGTGCTTCAGCTGTTCGACATCCCGCGTCGCTTTCGCTAGCAGATATGTCGCACTGTTGACAGTCTGTGCTCTGCCGAACACGATATATGCGACTGGTTTCCCGCGACGAAGGGTGGAGTCATCCTCAATATCGTCAAGCCTACTCCGCATTAGTCCCTATCGTGGTTAAATTTCGCGGTGAATAGGGGTTGGTAGTAGTGGTACATTAGAGCACAGTTGAAGAGCATGGTTGCGACTTGTTCAATAAGAGAAGCCGAGTCATCCGGCAAAGTAAACCAGGCGCGCAGGCAGTCAAGAAATCGAGTAATCGTTTTCTTTCCTGGGAGTGAGTGGATGTAGTTATAGGGAGCCATGCATATCTAGTGCTATTAGTGATTTGGATAGATAGACCCAAGGTTGGATGAGGTCTCACGTCTGTTGCTGGAGCTTTCTCAAAGGGCGCAAGAATGTCCACGGGTCCGCGTGATGCAACGCTACCAGGGTCTCTGCATAGTGTTTCTTGGGGCTTCTGCTCTTCAAATGATCCTGGTTTAGCATGGCCATGGAGTCTCCAGCCTTTCTTACTCCGGCCAACAAGCTGCGCTCTGTCTTCCGCAGTCGTAGTGAGCTTGCATCCGTGATATTTGGGCGCGATGGCCTGTGCGTAACAACCACCGCCCGTAGCCATGATACAGAGAGCCATAAAGCGACGCATGTCCTCCGACTTGTAGGATGGGGAAGCCTTCCAGGCCTCGTAGTCGGTCAGAAGCTGTCGCTCGAGGGACAATATCTCGCTCTTCAAGATGTCACGCGCCTCGTCTTCCGTGTAGCCATAGTTAGCCATCAAGACCGCCATCGCATTGTGAATTGCATCGAGGGTGCCACTGGTAAAATGCTCGTCGAATTCCTTGTTGAAACTCTCTAGGTCGTTCGTTAACCCGATTATCAGACTGGAGAGATCTCTCATCGGGGCAACCGATGCTTGCTCGCTCTCGCTGATACGTAGGCCCTGGATGAAAGGCAGAACATCGAAGAGGAGACTGTCCGAGATTAACAGAGGGACACACTCTCCCGTGTTCACAGGGGATTTTAAACCTACCCCCATGCAACGCTGACCGTTCTGTGATCTTTATAAGTTTCGAATGTCACCTCGTTGAGAGGCGGCACAGTTTGAGACCGCAAGGCCTGCGCAAACACCTGCAGGAAGGTTCTGGTCTCGCTCTCCCCTGTGTTAAAATTTTGCAGTAGTTGCATCAATGAATTGAAGTACAGCTTATTCATCTCAAACTCGCACGCTATGGGGGTTTCGAGCTTTATTTTAGACACAATCGCCAGCGCATAGTCATCCACCAGGGCTTGGTGCTGTTGGCGCAGTTAGCAGGCGTCCGATAATGAGTTGCATCTCGAGCGCACCTTTTCGGTTTCAAGGGCGTCCGTTTCATCTGTGTCGCTGGGTTAGACAAGCAAGAGAGGACTCAAACTGACGCATTATTAGCGTGCGGTCATACATACCATCCCACAGGGCAAGAATTGTCGCAAAATAGAGAAAGTGAGCGAAAGCCCCTGGAGGACATTCCGGACATATAAAGCGCACAAACGCAACGTTCTTTGCGTCTAGCTTCAACGCACTCGATTCTTTTCCGACGGCGCGAGCAAAGTCGGCTTTCGCCTGCTCGAATGGTTCAAGCGACGCTTCGACCAGCGGGACGCGGTACGGCAGGATATGGTAATATCCGTCCGGGAGGTCGTGGGGCTCGGGGACCCGTGTGGACTGGAAGGGATAGTCGTCAAATGTGAACATGGTCAGGGCTTCCTATAGTCGTGGAGAAATGGGTTGTGAAACGTTTGGGGACTGAGCAGGAATGCACGTCAATTAAGTAGATGCATTATGTATCGGGTATATGCGAGGTGCCTGAAGCGGGGTTGCCGTTCCTGCTGGGGACAACATCCCTTCCCCCGTTGCTCTGTTGGAGGTATCACATTCTGGATTCTGCAGAGGGATCAGCGATCATTCTGCAATGCACTAACAGGCATGCGAAAGCTATTGCCAGGTCAACAAATCCCGTTTCTTCAACTTTCGGCTCCGTTGGCTGGCTGAAACGAAGCCGCGAGGTTCGAATCAGGGAAAGAATAATTAGCCCGGGCCAGGCAGGGGAATTCGCCTGAACCCTCAATGCGGTGAGACCTGAGAAGTGACGAGTCAATTTTTCTTTGCAAGCCGGCCTCTTCAGGGCCAGTAGGAACCGAGATTAATGGTTCGCCCAAATGAACTAATGCTGGAGTTCATGCATGTCAGCACACGTATTTGGCTGATCAGCGTTTCGCCAAGACAACTTTTAGCTCGTGGCTGCCAATCGTGCACAATATCTAGTTCCAGCTCAATTTGCACGGTCCTCCCAGCCTTCTTTTTCCACTGGGTTCGCCTTCCGGCCAGGGCCGTTTAAAGACCCCCTAGAACGGGAACTGCCATTGACTGGTACTTCCCGAGTATGGAAAGCATTTAATATCAAGATTAAAAATATCTACGGCGACGTCAGGCACTAAACGGTAGAAGATTCTAAGCCCATGGGCGATAACAGCCGCGCTGGTTACTCCTGATATTCCGTTAGATCTGGGGAGTTACTCGTTGGCTTTGTTAGAGTCAGCACCATTAAAAGCCTCCACTCCCGAGACACGGCAAAGTAGTATCCCGGGTAAGGTCATGCAACACTCAATAATACTCTAGCATCAAACTCTTTTCATCTAATATTCTTTCAGATGCTGGATCTAATACGAAGGAAGCAGAGACTTCTCGACTCTCATGTGTACCCTGTGTGACCACACCTAGGTCCATGGCGAAGTCACGTTATCTATCTCAGATTGACAGTTCGGGGGGACAAGCGTAGGTTGAATGGGCGAGAGGTCTACCCCTATAACTCGAGCAGCTAGAAACTCATCGTCAACGTCTCTAAAATATATTAGCATAAGGATACGCATAGCGACTTCTACATACATGGCCTAGATCCCAGTGCCTGTTCCTATATCAAGGATAGGCTATCTAAATTAGCCCCTAGAAAATAATGGCAAGAATCTTAATTACCTATAGGTTCATGACTAGTGCTAAAAAGAGATGATCCTCGAAGGTTATATTATACATGTGGTGCGCTAATCTTTATAGTCTCTATGCCTGAGCATCATTTAGGCCCTAAGCATAAGAGGTTAGGTATAAACTTTAGATTAGGGCCTATCTTACTAAAGGAAAAGCTATAAACCTAGTATACATGATAATACAAAGCATGGTAGCGTCGCCTATATTCAAAGTAATAATTAAATACCGAAGGCGACAAGCTCTGAGTCGAATCTTTAGGGCTACTAGAATATGCAGAATCGACATCATTAAGGTGCTCTTCTAGTAACTCATGAAGAATAGGAGAAAAATAAGGCCTAGTTACCATCAACTCTTGTCGTCCTATTAAACCTAGCCAAGGCCCCGTGGCCAAGGCAAAAGAGCCAAGGTCTATAAGTTTTCACGCGTGCACGCCAGCTCAGGTAGCTAGATTAGCACATAGCTAACTCTCCTCTGAGGAGGATGAGAGATTTAGGGTACTTGCACGGTCATGGACGGGTTAGGTTACGTGTTCACCCTAGCGGACTCCATGCACACCTTAATACTCTTTATTTCTCTTTCCTAAACGACATGAATCCCCCGCCCAAGGACCCTAGAAACACCAGCCACAAGAAGCAAAACAAACAACACAGACAATAAAAATAGCCAAAAACATATAATAGAAGGGATTCGCATGTGGTCACACACGACCACAGAGTGCCAATGTACACGATTTTTTTTGTCTAACAGTACTAAATAGATAATTAATCAAAAGACTTCTAGAGTGATCATCTAATAAAAGTTAGACTGGCCTCTTTAGAACATCATAGATCCCCTTGGCCACGCAACATAGTTATATATTTTAAAAGAATGGCTTGTGTGAACTAACATGTATATCCATAGCAGATACCCTAGGCTATAGCATGATAATCTAGCAAAGAGCATAAAGATAATAATACTATTCACAAGAAGATAAATATTAATGCTACTACATCTAGGTGGCATTCTTTACTTTTTCCCATGTAATACGTGCTATTATTGCTATCCCATCCTATTAATATTACCAAAGCTCTTATACATTTAATAATAAAAAAAAAGGAAAACAGGAGGATACTTACTAGTAGTAAGAATCCCTCCAGGGGAGTCAATGCTAGAATAGGCCTCTCATCCTTGTTATAGGTCGCCTCTATCTAGCGGACTTAGTGAGTTCCTATCCACGCTAGATTAAGCGAGACATTAACGTGAGTATTAACCCTCGTCTCCCCATTTTCTTCATAGATCTTGAAAGACCCATAGTACATAGTCGCATTCTTCGCGGCGTAAGCTAGCTCGGCTTTAGTAGCCAGGTACCACCCTAAAGATACCATGTTTACTACTCTCCCAGGTGAAGTCATATAGACATTCATGTATCCTAAAGGCAGGAATATAATTCGCCCAAGCAGGGACTTGCCAAGCAGCTGGAGGATTAGTTTACTAGAGGGATTATCCACGCGGTAGAGTTTATAGCCGACAAGGTTCTACATACTATAGATCTACTCTATAGGGAAGCCTATCATGGTTCTATATCACTATCCTGGAGTGTGGTTTTTTTTTTTTTTTTACAAATTATTCTCTAGTAGCAGGGCTGCGAGAGCCATAATTTAAACGGCAAGGGCGAGCCAATATCAGAATTAGTGTGGGACTTGCAGCCTAATAGATATAGATACATCCATCTCAGCTCCCCTACTTTTTATTAGAACCCCTCCCTTTGTACTGTGTGTGCTAGCACCACGTGATATAGGTTTCGTATAGCCTGCTTGCACCTAGATAGCTTCATTATTTCTACAAGCATGCAATAATCATTATGCCTAAGCTTTCTCCTAGTTTCCATCCACCTCCTAACACTTTATCACCTAAGAAGTTCGCCGCCAGCAAGTGAAACCACACCAGCTGGCGAACCATGCTGTGGACCTGGAGATAGGGCCATGATGGTCCAGGTATTATGCTGGCACCAATCACAGCGTGAGCTTGAGCTAATGCCTCGCGTAAACGTCCTGGGAGCGTAGAGTAGAGTGTCATAGTAGGTGCCTTAGGCAACCCTAACAGGAGGCCGCGCGACCACTACTTAGGATCTAAACTATTTAGGCCTAACCCCTTTAGGCTAAACCCTAAATAACTCTCTTAGTATTACTATATATAAAAGATCTATAGAGAATTACTAGTCTTTTAGATTACTATTAATTTTAAATAAAATAGCTTATAGTGTCACGGTCAGAGCGGCCTAGATGCCTGAAGGGTCAGGCCCCCGGTCGGAACGGTTCAGGTATATGAGGTGCCTGAGGGATCAGGCTCATTAGGAAGGGCTAATAGCTAGGGATTAACTAATTAACTTAGTTAACTTAGCTAATCCACTCACATAACCTAAGAAGGTTAGCTGAGGGGTGAGCTAAGAGGTTAACTAAGAAGATTAAAAGACCTTAACTTAATATTATTCTTTTAATAGCTAGTTACTTAGGTCCCCTAAAGGTTCTAGATATCTTATAAAGTAAGGATTAGTTTTATCCTAATTCTATATCTATTTTAGTAATATTATACCTAATTAACTTCTCTTTAAGACTCTTATAATTTCTAATCCTTTATCTTTAATTACTTATAATATTATTATAATTTCCTTATTATCCCCTCCCCCTAGCCCTTTAACTAGGTTATAATTAAGTTACTCTACTAATAAAGTTTAAGTATTAGAATAAATTCTACCTCCTTAAAAAATATAGCCCTAGTAATCTTCTATAGTAAATAAAAATAGTATTAAGAAGCCTATTTTAAAGAAATAACTAGATAAACTAAAATAAAAGGTTAACTATCTTAAATAAGTTAATAATCTTAAGTAAAAAATCTATAACCTCTAGTAAAAAATAGGCTAATTAAAATATTTACCTCCTTCTTAATAACTATCTACTTTAATTAATCCTAAATTATTAAGTATATAAAGGGTAGTTAAACCTATATTAAAACCTTATTATAAGGAAATTAAGATTAAGTATATTAAATCTTTTATACTTAAAACTACTTTATAGGAATAGGAAGAATAGCTTATAAATATTAAAACTATTATTAAGTATACCCCTATAAAATATAATACTAATTATAGTAAGATTACTACTAGGTAGAATAAAATAGATAATACTTATTAAAGGAAGTA